CTGGGCTTTCCACCAGAAGAGCTGTTGGAGAAAAAAAAACCCACCAGAATTTACATTTGCGGACTTTCGGTGGGGGAGAAAGGAGTGATAAGGGCTCGACGGTATCGGCACAATTTTTGTATCGGTCTAAGCAACAGTTGGTGGAAATGAAATCTCTCGGCGATGATCTTAAACGGCCAAGGTAAAAATATATATAAAAAAAAAAAACAATTAAATTTTCACTCCAAACAAGCTTGTTTCTCTTGTGAACACTATATTCTAAGTTACTGCTTAATTTTTTTTTCGTTTTTGAAAACAGAGTTTTATGATTCAGTTTCATCCAGGCTTTCCCATATACATATGTATAAGATTTTTATAATTTTTACGTTGTAATTTCGTTTTTATTGTTCTTCATATAAATATATAAACTTATAAATTACTACTATTATAACATTTGAATAGTTCATTAAAAATGTGTAGTCTAGTTTCAAACCAAAAACGCGCAGAAAAAACTATTTTATTACAATTATTATTACTAATATTTTAAGTCTTCTTCTAATTAATTTATAAAATAGTAATACTGCATTTGAATTAAGTAATTATCTCTTTTTTTCTTTCAAATTTAATAGCTGAAAGTTAGTTTTATTATAATTACGACCTAGAGAGCTGGGCTGTTAAAAACATAATAGGATTTAAAAATGCTTTCAATCCTTATATACTTATTTGTTATCCTCAACATTTTTCATTTATTGTACAAATTAGATCTTGCATTAAAAAAAAAAATATATACATATATTAACAAACAGTCTAATTTCTATATATACCAGAAACTATAAAAATATCGATTTTTATTATTATTATTTATATAAGTTTTTAATGTTTTTGGTCTCTTCAAAGTATTATATACGACCACAATGGCTGAAAGTTAGTATGTTTAGTTTCATTTCAACGTGGAGTAATTTTTTATTAACTTCCGATTGGAATAACGTAAAATGTTTTCAGAATTGTTTACGTACTTTTTTTATATCCTCCAATTATTCTTCCGTTTACAAAACTAGATAATCTTAATTGAATAATTGATTAAAAAATAGTAATAATAACAAATTAGGCATCTAGTTACAAAAACGAAAACCACAAAAAGATCGATTTTATTTATTTCATTTACTGTTATGTTTTTTTTTCGAAGTTATTTCAACAATAAGGCCATATTAACCCCTGGATTTCGGTGTTAAAAAAAATTTATAATAATTATGATTAAATTTTAAAAAATTTCTTCTCGTTTATGTTCTATTTACAACACTCCTAGACTTAATTGATTCATTTATGATCAATATTTGTATTGGAAGTGAAAGCTAGTAGTTTTATTTTTATTTCGATCTAGCGAAATATTTGAGTAGCGACATATTTATTACAAGATGTCTTTTTAAAGTAAATTGTTTGTTCTTTATTGACCTAGAAAATTTGACTTTCCTTTCCAAAGCTATATAATTTAAATTGCATATTCCGTCCATAAACGTGATGTCTAGTTTTAAAACAAAATTTGTTCGATTCCTTAACTGAAGTTTTATTTTCATTTTGACATAGCCAAATTCATAATAGTTAATATATTACATAGTGTATTTCTAACAACATTTTTGTAGTTAATCTACAAAAATTGGCCATTCATTTTCATAACTGGAATAATTAACTCATTTAAAAGCCTCTGCACATTTACTCACGTTACACCATAACGTCAAAAATAAAAATGATTTTGTTTTCTTTTGTTTGTTCTAAATATATATTAGATAAAAAATATATATGAGATAATTTCAGTACTAGGTTCAAATAACACATATCTGCGTTTCTAAATTGATAAAAAATTGAGACTTTCTTGGTTTTCTTTTCCTTGGTTCGTATTGAAAATGCTTCTGTGCTGCCAAATATTACTTCAAAGTAAAGTAATTCTTTACATACTGGAAAGTTTAAAATCCAACTAACTGTTGAGTGTCACAGGCGGGGGTTACAACCACTGTACAGTACTTTTTCCAAATAATTCTCGATTAAAATACCATTGGATTAATTAATTAATTTTTGTTTGGAGAAAATAAAAAGAGATTACGAATTACTAACGTGGATCAGAACGAGTTTTGAAATGTTTGCCTGTTATGCAGAAATCGTGAGATGCGGTCTGGTGTGATAGGTTTCAGAAAAAACATTTTCTTTATCGTGCCAACGTTTCGATCTTTATTGAGATCATCTCAAGGGCGGTATGCCTGTTGCTTAGATAAAAAGCACAAATCATTTTTTAAAATTACTGCTATAGACGTTTTATAGCATGGTTTGTCCTGTTCAATCCGTTAACAAATAAAAATAAATAAAAGTTTTAATTAATCTAAAATCTAAAAAAATTTTAATTAAATAATATATGTTTTTAGTTGGTCCTAGTAAAACAAAGTAATTATTTAAATTGATTTATAAATTTTATGTAAAGCGTGGTTGAGATTAGTGTATCAGTGTGAACTCGAACCCACGACCTAGGTTTCGGTCCATTTTCTCATCTTCGGCCAATATGCGAGCTATGAAACGGGAATTAATTTATTGTCGATGTTGTGTTTGAGAAAACGATTTTTTAAGTGGAAAAGTTGGATATTTTCAGACAGATCTTGTATGACAAATTTGGCTAGTTATTAAGTTTGTTTCCATACCTGCTAAGCCATCTGGAACCAAAGTGAATCGCTTTGAAATTCAAAATCACACACACGATTTTTTTTAATTCGCCTGGAAGTGCTAAATCTAATTTTCATCGTTCTGACATTTTTCTCGACGAAATGGAAGACATAGGGGTTTTCAGTAAAGTTTTCCACAATTCAACCACGTAGTACAACAATTTCCGTGTAATTTTTTCAGATTTGCCACACTTTACACCACCCTCGTGGTCTGATGAGCGAAAATTCTTGATAATATATTTGTTATCGCTAAGATAAAACAGACAAATGGCTGCATCATATCCAGAGAAACCCGATGTTTGAGAATGTTAACACAATTCTTTATTTCAGAATTAAAATGCGTCTTATTGTTATTTTACCTTGACAAGTCTGAGAATAAAACATAAATTTAACATCACAAAAAGCATAATCGTAAGAGAGAAAGGATCAACGTAACATAAATATAGTATACATAAAACATCAAAACATAATATTTTCATACATATCGTTTGCGATAAATTAACTTTATATTTTATTCTTTCTTTGTTAGTCTGTAAATTAATAATTTTGGCAAGCTGAAATTAAATATTTTTAAAATTTTGCAAGGCAAATTTGGAAAAACGTCGTCATAGGGTCCATGTTTGAGCTGGACGATATCATTAAAAAGTGTCATTAAAAGTGTCATTAGGGCATTTGATAGGTACTTAATATGGTGTAATTTGTGTATTATTTTGTAGTTATGTTGTATAATGGTTACTGTCCGTTTCTAAAATAAACTGCGAGATATCGTGAATTTCCGGTGATATCTAAATTTTTCTCAGGGGTTCATAAGAATTATATTCTATATATAGAATATATCTTTCTTAATTGAACTTATTTCTTCAGAAAAATGAATAATAAATTTGGCTTTGCCTTTCATAATTTCACAATAATATGTGATTTTTAATACAAAATTTGACATCTACAAATATATATTTAGGGTAGTGTAACGAGTTTATTGATTTATTTATTTTTATCAGTAAAATATTTATTTATATTTATTCATTTTAATATTTGCTCTATTTAGCAACCGTAACTGTTCAGGCCAAGTATGGATTTTATTTAAATATTTCCTAGTTGTCAATAGCTACTGGTGCGATAATTTTCTACATTTCTTTTTTTAAAAATATTTTTTAAATAAATATTATCTTGCTATAAAGATTGTCAACCTTATCTGAAAAAAGATTACACTCAGATTTTCTTGTTCAATTGTGACTTATATGATTTTGCTAACAAATGTGAAGAGTTCCATAACTCGGCCAGTTGATTGAGGATTATTGTGCACATTCCACGTGCCACTCTCGTTCCACATAAATGTGATTTTCCGTTTTTAGGTCAATCTTGCTTCCCTATCTTTTAAATCTCCGACGGACGTTGTTTACATCAGTGGATTGTTTTGGACGATCATGTTGGACATGAGCGTAAGTGAATTCGACTACCTAGAGTACCATCGTGCACTCAAGATTGATTCTTAAAAACCAAAATTTCTTGATTGGTTTGGATGTCTAATTGGTTGATCCCGGTAGTCAACAACAAAATGCTAATATTGGTCGTACGGTCTTTGAAAGAGCGGGGTGGGTGATGACCACCAAAAATATATCTTACCTCCTTTATTCAATGGCGATTAAGTGTATTCAGCCCATATTAATTTAATATATCTATTTATTGATGGGATCACCTTGTGAACGGACAAATAGTGGTGTTTTCAGGACATATGGCCAATTGCTGATTTCTAAGGTTGAGCCATTTCTTGCACGAGTGCATCTGTATCAGTTTTTAGAACCTTGTCTTTTACTATGTTGTAGTAATATTAGTAAAGGTGTAGTGAACAAGTCTTGTGGGTTAGCATATATTTAATTTTTTTTTTTTTTCCAACTGGCAATCGCTGGGTACGGCCATATGGAGTACATTGGAAAGGACAGTTAACGTTCGAGACCACGGTTTTATTTGTTAGAAGTGACTTTGTAAAAGCGATTTCTTGTAAAGCGTTTGTTGAAATTTTAGTCCTCCCTTTACAGTGGAAGGTTTGGCAGATCCTTTGACATCCACGCATATCTAGATATGAATAGATTTGGATCGCAAATTTTTATGGACGGATCAGTAAATGAACTGAGCAAACAAAAACTTTTGTCATGTGCCTGTGTGAGTTGTACAAAAAGTTATCATTCGTTAAAAGGTTTCATTTTAAGGTACAACTTTCTAAACAAATAAAAAATTTCAACAACCCAATATTTTTTTTGAGAATGTAAATTAAGAAACTGGAAAACTATAGCAGCTGATCTAAAATTTAAGTATTTACATTTTTAAAAAAGGGTTAACCAAGAACAATAGTGTTTTGAAAACAACGGAACGATAGGAGTGGTGCACATTTTTATACCGTATATTATCGCTTCAAGATTATACACCACTTTGAGTTATTAAAAAAACCAAAACGAGATAAAGTAAAACAACTTCATGCAACTTTTCTCTTAAATAAAATGATTTCAAATGAAATAATAAGTATAATTATTGAGAGAGGTGAGTGCAATTTATTTATATACAATTAAGTTTTTTGAAATCATATCATTAAAATAAAATCTGTAAAACACCACAATACAAGTCGCTAGTTATTAAAAAACAGCCCATAGAAGAACAAACAGTAATTAGTACAACGAACGAAGAACAAGTAGTACCTTAAGTAAAATAAAAACAATATCCAATATTTTAACAACGAAATAAATGCCTGTATACAATAAATCTAGAATTTTAAAGACAGAATCGGAACATTTTAGTTTAGTGAGACTTTTTTGATTTTCATGGTGTAGGAAATATATTAACTGCGCTTAAATTAATTTCTTCTTAATAATAAAATACGATCGGATTTATTTAATAAACATGTTTCACTCAATTAAAAAACGTTAGGAATCGTTAAACGATCGGTAAAATAAATTGACCTGTTGTAGGTTTAACGAGGCGAAAGAAAAGCACCCAAACAAACAAACACAATAAGAAAAGAACTTCAAACAGTTTTTAAATGCCATATATTTCGTCAAATAGAAATTGACGAAAAACTATAAAAATTGATATCTACAGATTTAAAATCTAGCAATCTAATAAACCAATTAAAATTTTTTTGCATAATTAATTGTAAAACTATTGGCCAGGACACTATCAGAACGCATCAGCAAAGAAGATAACGAAATTCCGACGACGTCGGACTTTTTTTTAAAGAAAAAAGGCAATAGAAAATTAATTTAGCTTTTATAACTATAAAATAAAAACAGTTTCACTCAATGCAACATAATTTAGCACCGACTTTAACGTTGTTGACGTTTTTATTCTTTATTACACTCAAGATTATTTTAGAAAACTAAAAAAACACAAATTCAATTATGACAAAAACTCGGAAAATTTAGAAAATATACACCTTTGACCTTGTAGTTAGTCTATCTTACTAAAACTTTAATCGAAAACAAACTGAATAACACTCAAATTTCACGACTATATATAAATAAATATGATATTACGAATTTCAACTATTTAAATTATCATAAATCTTTATCAACACAATACTTTTACAATACTAATAAATCATAAAAAGGCCTGTAATCTAGAGTATCTAAATTCTCACAATATACTGAACATAGTACACAGGTCGTTCAAATCCCATCAACCCTCAATTAGTTTAGTTTATATAAGTAAAGGGTGATTGATGAATATCGAGTACTCCACTACCCTCCTTGGGTGAATGGATGTAAATAAGAATGCTTGAAATTAAAAATGAGTTATATAAGTTTAAAGCATTGGGGTTGAAATGACCTAGTTGTTGACAGCCCTGAGCCCTAACTTCGGTGGCAGGACAGATAAAACTGGGCTTATTATAAATCAAACACTGTTCATACCCAACAAGCACCTCATTTACAGTTTTATATGATTATATCTATGATAATTAGTAGTAGTAGTTCAAAAACACTACTTTTCAGAATTGCGATTTTAAAATGCAGATCTTTGATACAAGTATAATTATTGAAATGGAATTACCTTAGTATATTTTGTATTGTATTTATTAGTTAACAGAACAATTGAAATTATTTATTACTTAATTTTGTTTTGCCAAATGCACTTTTTTAAAAATATTATCTATAAATTTAGCCCAGGTTTGTAATTTTATATTTTATATTATGTAAAAGGAAAATACATTTCCACCGACGATCCTCCCAATCATGGTTGTCATCTTTGATATTACTCTCCATTTCCTTTTTGGGAAAGTTATTTCTTTTTGTATGTGTTTATAAAACAAGACGTAATAATAATCTAAATGTTTAAGGTTTCTAAAAAAGCACTTAGCTTTTAAAAGGAAGTGGTTTTGACTCAATCAATTTCATATATGCATTCTGTTCTAAAACTTACTGGAATATGCAAGTTACGTTGCCCTTTTAACAATAAGGTTTTATATTATTTATCTATTAGTTAAGAATTATACTTCGTAATATTATCTATTGTAGATAGCATAATCAACTCTTCGGAATGTGCATTTGAACACAATAAACCCCTTCTTTTTCTCCTCTATAAAAACTCCAGGAAATTCCATAGAGAAGACATTACATTATGAGCATTATGCCCGATGGTAACTATTGTTAATCCCCAATTTTAAGAGAGTTCTCCTAGCTTATGCATAAGGAGGAAAGGTTCTCTCAAGCAAACTATATCACACTCAAATAAAGTTTTTTTATTTTTAAAGTAAACAACACACTGTCGTGGCTTATTTACATTTATCTCATTTGGCCAAAATTCGATTAATCCAGTTTTGCCCCAAAAATGCAGATTTGTCTTCTCTCTCTCTCTCTCTGTCTCTCTCTCTCCCTCTCTCTCTCTCTCTCTCTCTCTAATTAATTTTTTAAAAATTTATCTGAAATAATTTAAAAAAAAATTGTAAAATACATACCAAGTTTTTACTTTTACAACCAACAAAGACTGGTCTTTTTTTAACTTTCCCTCAAAAATGGTTATTTTTAATCTACAGTGGTTGAACAGTGTTCACACCTTTTGAAGTTTTACTTACAAATGTACAGAATTGGCAAAAGAACACACAGACACAACATTGAAGGAACATAAATGATGGGGTGAGTGTGGAGTTCAATCCTTTTTAAAAAAGATAGTTCCTACTCACATTAAGTTGTTTCGCAACAATCTGGATTTTGAGCCCTTTAGCTCATCGTCAGTTTGAAGGGTTTCCACAAACACGTCTTCATTTCAATTCATGTTGAGAGACGTGTTTGTGGAAACTCTTCAACCTGATGATGAGCTAAAGGGCTCGAAATCCGGATTGTTGCGAAACAACTTAATGTGAGTAGGAACCATCTTTTTTAAAAAGGAGTGCACTAGTAGTTCTGGCTTCAAATCCTGGCATAACCCATGGATTTGTAATTGTGAATATTATAAAGAAAGTATTGTAAAGGGGTTTGAAACCTAGTCTACAATGCTCAATGGGATGAAGCCCTCCTGACCAGCAATTACTTTACAAACTATCATATTAAAGTTCGAAATGTACCATTAGTTATTATAAAAGCATCTGGTTTCATTTTATTAGTTAATGATTATGAGAGCAGAATGATTATTGATCTTTAATTCATTGCTGTAACACTTTATGATTATTTATTAAAATGCTTAATTGTAAAAAATCTACAATTGTAGTCATGTTTTCTTTCAGGCAAAGCATCCATAAAAAATCGTAATCGATTAATAAGACAATTATTTTTTACACTATTGGTTGCTGTTTTCTGCACCTGGATCCTTTTTCAAATTGATCAAAAAGCTGCTTTTACGTGGATATATACAACTCCACATTTTAATCAAGGTATGCTGTTATATTAAAAATAACTTAGATTTTATTTTAACATGAATTAAAGATATATATTTCTGATATTTTTTTTTTTTCAGATGGAAGTAGTTCAGGCTTCCTTGTAAACACAAAAGGATGCCGAATTCATGATCTGGACCCTTTCGATCCTTCAATCAAATCTTACTTTTTTGATGAAGATTTAAATTGTGACAAACACAATCAAAAACAACTGGTCAGAGCAACGACTACTGATTTATATGTAGACAAAGAAAGAATAGATTTTTACCTAAATGCCTCAACAGATGTTCTCCATTGTTGTTACCAACCATTTTGGAGGGTCGAAGTCAAACCGACAGAAAAGTCACAACATTTTGACAACACCTATGAGTGAGTAGAATGAATTATTAATTTCAAAAATAGAATTAAGTCTTGTAATATAAGAAATAAGTAAACTTTTGAATAATATATGTTTCAGGTTTTCTGATGAATGTTTCCGGTTTTTTGAACCACTTGAAATCTCCCACGAGTTTGTCAAAGTCAGTTGTACTGCAGGAAATAAAACAATATATAAAGACTATTTTGCCTTCGTACAAAGAAAGAAAAACAAAAGCATCAATCCAAATGATCGATCTAAAGTGAATGTTCTAACAATTGGCTTGGATGCAATCTCAAGGCTTAATTTATATAGACAGATGCCTAAAACGCTGCACCTGTTAGAAGAAATGGGTGCTGTTGAAATGCTAGGCTATAACAAAGTAGAAGATAACACTTTCCCAAATTTAGTTCCTGCTTTAACTGGTTTAAGTGTTAAAGAACTTACGAAAGAATGTTGGTTCAATGCTTCAATGGAGTTCGATAATTGTCCATTTGTTTGGGACCAATATTCCAGCATAGGCTACCAAACAGGATTTGGAGAGGATTCGAGCACCATAGGGCTTTTCAATTATTTAAAAGTGGGCTTTAGAAAACAACCCACTGATTTTTATCTTAGAATATTTAATCTAGTCTCAGAACATGATATTGGCAATGAACATTGGCTCAACACAGATATTTGTCTGGGTAACCGTTTGACAATTGAATCGTTGTTAGACTCAGCTAAAAGTTTTGCTTTTAACTTAAAAGATATTTTATCATTTGGTTTTTTCTGGTCGAACAGCATATCTCATGATTACCTTAACCTTCCTAAACATGGTGACGATATTCATTATAATTTCATAAAACAATTGCAACACAATGGAATTTTAGATAAAACCGTTGTAATTTTTATGAGTGATCATGGAATAAGATGGGGAGATTTCAGAAGCACATACCATGGATATGTCGAGGAGAGGTTGCCTTACTTATTTATACTTTTACCAAAGTGGTTTAACAACGAATTTCCTCATGCTGTGTCAAACATCAGGAGGAACAGGAGAAGGCTTACATCGCCATACGATCTGCATAAAACATATCAGCACTTATTGGATTTAAAAACACTTACCCCAGAAGCTTTGAAAAACATGGCAAGAATTTCTGGAACCAAAATACGAGGTACAAGTCTGTTTTTACCAATAAGCGAAGAAAGGACGTGCAGTGACGCTGGAATCCCTTATAACTGGTGTACTTGTCATCAATCGACTCCGGAAGATGTTACCAATCCAAAAGTGATCGAATCAGTAACACATTTAATGATTTATTTAAATAATTTCTTGTCAGGATACAGACAATGCTCAAAGTTAACTGTAAATTCTATAATAAGAGCCAGGTCAGAAAGAGTCGCAAATAATGAAAATCGTACAAAACATATAGCAGTGACGGACTACACAGTGATTATTGAAACTAAACCAGGTGGAGGTCTTTTTCAAGCAACAGTCAGATTTTTCCAGCAAAATGGACAATTTAATGTACTTACGCCAGTTAGTAGGATAAACACATATGGTAATCAAAGCAACTGCATTAGTAATTACCAATTAAAACTATACTGTTACTGCTTAAATTTATGGTAGAAAATTTTGTAAATAATATATTTTTGCATTAAAATATATAAAAAACTTATTGTTAATAAAAACAATACTACATTCATTTAAAAAAAATATAAACTGTTGTGATAATGACTTGTTGTTTTTTTGTTTGTATTAGTCGAACTTAGACTAATTAAAAAAATGTAAATAAAGTTCCTTCTTTTTAGAAACATTTAAACAAGGAAATATATTTTTATACTAATCCATATTTGCTTATTGGTCATAATAGACCATATTAGTTATTCTTTTTATCTAAGGTTTTTCATTTCAACCAAAAACCTTAGATAGAAAGAATAATTATATGGCAAATTTTTATACCTTCAACAACAAAATTTTTATTTAAACAAAAATAAACATGAAAAAAAACCACTTATTTTACAAGAGATGTTTTATCAGTCAATTAACTTGTGGTAGTAATGTATCACTGCAATGATACATTAAATTTGCTCAAGATTATAAGGATAAATTTGTGAATCATTTTTGTAGTTTATTGTTTTTGGAACGGAATTAGGGAAACACAAGGTTTTGAATACCTGAATTCTTCTTTCTTCCTTGGCCTACTCGACAAACAAACAACAAAAACGGAATCCAACACTGCTGACGATAAACAAAAACTGATAATTGAGCCATCTTGCCAGCAAAAAATTGTAAAAAGACATATGTCATACTATTTTTTATTGAAACCATTCAACCGACAAGGGATAAAGGAAAATAAAAATCTGTTGTGCAAAATTTGTTATTCAGTCTTTCATAATACATGTTAATAAAACAGTATTGCAATATGTGCAACCTTATCAAAGAAGTTAAGTAAAGAGTAAATTGATAATTGAACAAAGAATTTATTTATTAGCCAAATATTAATGATTAAAAACATGTAAATTTTCTGTTTATAAACAAAGAAATATCTATAACATAATTTTTATTTAATGTAACAAAAATATGTAGAGATTAGTGACCGTTAATCGATAGTTATTCAGATATCGTGAGATGCGGTCGGGTGTGATGTAGGTTTCAGAAAAACATTTTCTTTATCGTGCCAACGTTTCGATCTTTTATTGAGATCATNTGATCTCAATAAAAGATCGAAACGTTGGCACGATAAAGAAAATGTTTTTCTGAAACCTACATCACACCCGACCGCATCTCACGATATCTGAATAACTAAGTAACAAAAATAATTACCAAAACTTTAACAAAGGGCTTAACTTACCTTTGGTTCATTGTTTTACACTTAACATTTCAAAGGAGTAACCATTCAGTGATACATCTACCAAAGCTGAGAGCCATTATGCAAGAAACAAATCTAATAAATGTACATTTTTACAAATAAATATTAACAATTTTCCTTAAAATAATTGTCTTAACACACAAAAAATATACATTTAAAAAAAGTTCACAATTAAATCAGCCTATTGATGCTAAGAAATAGATTGAGCAAAACATAATTTTTGGATCTATAATATAATCAGTTTGTATTTAATAATAATTACTCTTTTGCTTATTTTTAGTAATGTTAAAAAAGTCACATGTTTAAGGAACTAATAACAATATGTTTGGACAATAAATATTTAACTCAATAAATTAATACAAGGCTAGCAAAGGATGCATATTTAAAAGAGTTGTCAACCTATTTAAGATTCCTCGAGCATCAGTACTTTAGTGTTATCTCACAAAGTAGTTTTAGACTTCATAATTTTGAACACCAACAGAATTTATAAGTACAAAATAGTTCAAACAACATTCTTTATCCTTTATTATCTCTGGGCGATTTTGGGATTTTAGCTGATTTACGTTTGATAGTCTTCACCTTGTTAATAGAATCGTTAACAGCTAAAGGAGCTCTCGTAAGAGGCATAAGCATTGCTGATGTATTACGTCCGTACACGATTCTCTCAGCCTCCAAAACAACAAAATCATCCTGCTGGAGCAACGGTATGAAAATCAATAGCTTGCAATCTGCGTATATCTCAAGGATTGGATAGCCACATAAGTTGTAATTCTGTAAAAATTCACATAAAAATAATTGTATAAAATATATATTATTTATTTACATGTTCAAACTTTTTATTTTTCATATAGAAAATTGGATTGGACAATGATTAAAGTTTGTTATGTAATAGAAGAATGTTGCTGTTAATTTTTTCTTGGTATAATGTTGTACAATATAGTTAATGAAAAGGTGGTGTCATTATTTTTTTGTTTTAAACAAAATTCCAAATGTGAAGCCGGGATTCAATTTATAACCACTAAAGTGATAGTATGGCTCAAAATTGATAATCAGATGCCCTAACAACTTAGCCAGTGCTGACCTATTTCCAAACCGTGTTATGTTTAGATAGAATCCTTGTTGTAGGAGAGATATGTAATTTTTACACTCAGCTATCAAATTGTCCAAATACTGTGGTAAAGAGAAAATATTGCAATTTTTGTACTGTGTTGACAGATAGCTGGGTAGTAGGAGGGATTTGGAGATTATATGGAAACATTTTGTCAGAATGGTGTTTGTAAAAAAAAGATGTAATTTTTGTATTATGTTTGTTAGAATTACATTTAGGAGAAATTTGTTCATTTCTGAGCAAAGCCAGAATGTTATGTGGGAGGATTTCCTATTTGTTGGGTGAAGGGGGAATGTCAATTTGTTCAATTTTTGGGCGAACACACTATTTGTATACTCTCTAGCTTTAAATCAGTTGATTGCTCAAGTTTACAAAATCTCATATTTTTAACAGTGCCCATCGGGTTTTCCCATGGGTAAAATATACCAAAAACCAGAGAAAAGTTGCATTGTTTTATATGTTGACAACCAACTCACCATCTCAACATAAAAGCTTTTGAATTTTCCCTCTTTTTGCCATATTTTCGAGTTTCATGTTCACTCAATTCTCAGGAATTATGAATTGACCTTGGGGAGCTGATAGCGAAGTTGTTCTTTAATTATTAAATTAATCCATATATGTTTAGAAGTCATAATTGCCAGTATTAATTATTTCAATTGATTATATATATATATATATATTATTCCTGGCCTCATCCCCAATCTACCTTTAGGAAAGTATGCTTAACTTTTTCATCTCAACCAATACCTTAGATAAAATGTATAATTAATTTAAATAATTAATATGGTCAATTATGACTGCTAAGCATATAGGGATTCATATAATAATTAAAGAAGTAATTACTTCGTTAACAGCGCCCAGAGGCCACTTCATGTGTCGCCAAGAATCAAAAGATTAAACTAAATTTGAATATATGGTCAAAAAGGGAGAAATTTGTTAAAAGTTATAGTTGAGATGTGGAGTTGGTGTCCAATTAGAACGAACGATGGCTCAAGTGGTTAGAGCAGTGGCGTATCTTGCCAAAGGTTGTGGATTCGCATCCCGCTCGTGACACTAACCACCTCATCTCAACCAAGACCTTAGATAAAAAGTATAATTAATTGAAATAATTAATAGAGTAAATTATGACTGCTAAACATGTATGGATTTATACCTAGTTATTATGGAAAATAAATAAATATTTAAGTGTATAACATAATTTGCCACAATCAGATCATAAACAGTGTAAAAGGATTACCACTGTACAAAGGTAAACAACATGTTTACATTCTAAGTCATCATTATTCCTAGTTATTATCAAAGATAAACAATTTTTTTTTTGTCTAGGAGTGCCATTGTCAGAAAGTTGCTTGTGCAGGAATTGTATTAATTTACACTTATGGGAAAATCATGTCATAGCCTGTAAAACTGCGTTATTCAGAATGTTCTAAAAAGAATGAAATCATTCTTGCACTGTATTATAAGAATGCTGTGCTGTATAAGGGATACTATTTTTGCCAACAACTGGAGATCACTGAACAATCTTACCTCGCAAAATTTGTAATGTTTACGGTACGCTAACGCTACAGCAATCCAAATGGTTATCGGTAGCCATGGTATGATGAAATATTCAGAATATAGAGCGTTGGAAATCTCAGGGGTCTTGAAGAAAGACAAGTCGCTGTTAATTAAATTTCCCAAAAGTACTTGATCCTTCTTCCAGTTTTCATCGAGTATCAGCCCTTGGGCGAATTCCAATTTAGAAGATTGCTGGAGAAAAGTGAAAAGTTATATTTAAGCCTTTTTAAAACTCACTCAAATTTAAAAAATTAAATATTAACTTACCTCCGGTCCACAATAACACAACTTGATTATCCTGTGGGTTGGAAAATCATTTTTCAATGTCTTGTAAAATCTATAATTCGACTTTCCCCTGAATAAATACTTATAGGCTAAAACGAGTTCCTTTATTGGCGGGGGACCAACTTTCACCTCGACGAAATAACAATATAATATGTAAAAAATAACTAGCGAGAGAATAACAAGGGATAAAAGAAAGACTAGCATCCTTGTAAATGGGTTTCAGTGTAACTTGCTCATCGTGTACGGGAGGAACGGTAAATTTCAAAGCGTTATTCCTGTTTAAGAGAAAGCAACACACCATTTTTTATCACGCTATCACAGGTGTTACACGGGTGGAAGGTTAATGGGCTCGTGTATCCCACTGAACTTTTTTCAACCGTCTGACCGCTTTAATTTAATCTGTTTGTTTAGAAATTCAAATTTTTTAAAAAATGTTTTGTTTTTTTACAACTGCGTTCTTTGACGCAACAAGTAAAACAGATATTTACATATAAACATATTAACGGTAGCATGAAAGCTTGAACAGCTACCATTCAGTGATGGTAGCCGTTAGTAAATCAATACGATGAGCGAGATGTACTCCTTCCTAGGAGACAAAATCCAACTAAACAAACTAATATTCTTTTCTTACGACGGTTTAGTGCTGAGGTCGTTTATCTCCGGTCTGAACGAAAATAGGAAAACGTGAGTTCCGATCACAAAGAGGCCTGATAAAATGTAGTTTATACGGAATAATTATATTATACATTTTATTGATCAGGATAATCTTCTCAACCAAGAGAATATAATAAAATAAAACAAAGACTTAAGGGGCGTCGATGGCCTTACTGTTTAAGCATTGATACTGCCTCATCACTGTAAGATAAAGGTTGATATGGGCTCTGCTGTTGCCTTTGTAAAAAAGAATAATTTTTGATACTCAATATTTTTATTATAAAATTTGAAGTTAAATGTCTATTTGTATAATGATTAATAAACGGTATTAAATTACTGAAATAAATAGTGTTACTGTAAGAGTATATTTCACCGACATGAATATCGGCCATCTGATAACCTCCAAGTTTTGAATTTAAATGTCATATGTTTTTTTTTATTTATTATTCATTTAATGTAACAATAATTTAATGATTTTTGGTATTTCTTAAACATTATTTAGTTGTGTATATGGCTTCAAAGATTTTTTCATGTATGGAAAAATAAAAATTGAATAAATGACCGTAATTTTTTTTCAACCACTTGTACGTTGCCAAATCAAGATTTTTCAACTCGAGGTCACTGATTAACATTAAAAAGAAAGGATGTGGCAATTTGAAAAAAGTCAAAAACATCAAATTTAAATCTGATAGACCGTGTGTTGAGTCGAAGGGGAAAAGATCACGTTGTAAAATGGCATTGAGGATAATTCCGAAATTGATAAATAATTCTGTCAGACGTCGGTATTTGCACTTATCGAGTCGTCATTGCAAGCTGATCCAGTTTATTTTGTCCGACATTGGAGAAGGAATTCGGGAAGTAACTGTTAAAGACTGGTTCGTCAAAGTCGGCGATAAAATATCGCAATTCGATGACATCTGCCTCGTGGAAAGTGACAAAGCGTCTGTGAATATAACGAGCAGGTATGATGGTACTGTTAAAAGATTATATCACGGTATCGGAGACACAGCTTTTGTCGGTAAGGCACTCGTGGACATCGACATACCCGATGATGAGTCCGCATCCGAGAAGGAGTCGGACTCTGAAGATGCGAAAGATCACGTTTCAGAAGATAGAATGAAGTTGGTCACCGAAGATAAGAAAGTCGACGAAAGGTTCAAAACCCTGGCGACACCTGCTGTACGAAGGTTGGCCATGGCTCACAACATATTGCTCCAAGATATCAAAGGCACCGGTAAAGGAGGTCGTGTTATGAAAGAAGACATCCTTAAACATATCGACCAGGAAGAAAGTCTTGCCAAATTGGAAAGCAGCCAGAAACCACAGCCTCCTCCCCAAGTTGAGAAACAGCCGAGAGTCACACCGAGCGATAGAGTTGTTGTTATTTCAGGTATCAAGAAAGCGATGGTCAAGTCGATGACGCTATCCAACACCATCCCATCGTTTGGCTACTCCGATGATATCAATGTCACAAAACTTGTCGCTGCAAGGGAAGAAATTAAAGAAATGACTAAGAAGTTAGGACTCAATATCACTTATATGCCATTTTTCTTGAAAGCTCTTTCCAAAGGTCTAGATAAATTTCCAGAATTGAATGCCACCGTAGATGAAAAATGCGAGAAAATAACAGTCAGAGGTAGCCACAACATAGGTGTAGCGATTGACACTCCCGATGGATTGATCGTGCCGAACATTAAGAACGTTCAGGATTTGAGTATAGTCGAAATTAGCCAGCAATTAAATAATTTAATTGTCAAAGCGAAAGAAAGAAAATTGTCTTTTGACGACCTGTCAGGTGGCACTTTCACAATATCTAATATAGGTATAATAGGAGGTACATACGTAAGGCCTTTAATTAATCCTCCTGAAGTTGCTATATTGGGAATTGGGAAATTTCAAAATACACCGATTTATGTTGACGACAACCTAGTCAAAGCAAATATGTGCCAAGTAAGCTGGGCTGCTGACCACAGGGTTATCGATGGCGCTACAATGGCTAGATTTGCAAATGTATGGCGAGACTACGTTGAAAATCCCTTATATCTTATGCTCAATGCTTGAAATTGTTAATCATTTTAGGGGACCATGAAAGATCTTATTTTATAGTCAAATAAAAATATTTTTAATAATAAAAACGATTTATTTTTTCTTACCTTCTTTTCTTCACTTTTGTTTTCCTTTTTTTTTCTTTTTATGGATGGTTTAATTTTTCTCATTTTTGGCCTTTTTTTTAATTAATTTTTTTATGGTGGTTAAAGAAATTTTCAAATTATGTTTCGGCATACTGTGCCATTTTCAATTTGGAAAATATTTTACTTTTGCAATAAATGGTTAAAGTAGTGAGGATTGGTCAGGTTAGATGTATTTAAGAAAAATAGATTTTTTCATTTTATATATTTTTTTCTTAATTACTTAATAATTATAAAATGTATTGAGCGATTAAGAAAAATTAATATAAAATTAAAAATATTTTCCATAAATAAACTATGTAACTGAAATTGGTGCAGGATAATTGTTTGAAAATTTCTTTACCCATCTTCAAAAGAAAGGCCGTCTTTTTTTCCTTTCTTAAATAAGTAATAACTTAATCTGCAATTTGAAGTTCTATCTAATATAAAATTTAAAACATTCCAAATTGTTTACTAGTGCAAGTGTTGGGTGCTGATCAAAAATGATTTTAAATTTTCCAATGTTTGTGTAAATCTTGGTGTAATCAAAAATATATTTGAACAGGACTGATCAAACAATTAATACATTCTCATGTTCATAGCTCAAAAAAAAATTTTTTATTGATAGGTTGATCATAATAATTATGATGTAATATCTGTAATAATATGATGTAATATATCATAATAATTATTGTCATTCTTGTTACATCTTCTAAAAGAACAGATGCACACAAAGCAAAACAAATACTCAAAAATGACCATACTGAAAGGATGAGATTATAGTTTTAATTATTTCAAATCAAAATGCATGCACTACAATTGAACTACAATAAATATTTGCCACAGACAAAGTATGTTAATTGAAGCGAAAATTAAATTCACTTTTGTTAATTAAAAATAAATAAAATTAGTTTATTTCATATGAAAAATAAAACACTAAAAATAATACACAACTCATTTTTATTAAACTTGTTTATACTGTTAAGGAACAGAAAAAACTGTACAACTCTCAAAACAATACAAACAAAATAAATAAAATAAATTTACAAATAAAATCAACTTTTACGAAAGAGAAAACAAATTTACAATAAAATTTCTTTAAAATTAGACTATCATAAAACTGAATTTTATGAAACAATAATAAAATATGTCAATTTAATAATTATTATATTTGATTAAAAAATTAACATTTATATACAGTATAATAAATCGTGATGAATGTACAAATCAATCACCAAAGTTTTACTAGATGAAACATTTCGAAAAATTGCGTTACAAAAATTATTAAACAATAAAATGAAACTATTTAGTTGAATTTTTTTAATGTGAAATATGATTTTTGTCAAAGCCCAATGTAACTGCACAATGTGAAAGTAAAAAACAATGTGAATATAATAAGTATTATAACTACCCATGGTGGGAGCGTACCTGTAAGGATAAAAGCAAACAATTTCACAAAATAGTTAAAGCAACTGGGAAGAAAAGATTAAAAACACAAAACAAGCTGATATGCTTACGTCTATAAGGCAAATTGTGTATGCAGATTTTATTATCCACTGAGATACTAAGTACAGCCGCTTCAGAACTAGAAGATATCGAGCTACCTTGGGATGGTAACAATTCCAGGCCAGTCACAAACATACTGTGAGCCCCTTTCACAGTCAAAACACGCTAAAATGTTAAATAATAGAATAAACATGTTAAAAATTGTTAAGGTTTAATGAAATTAGTTTTTGACCCTCACCTGTAAACTAAAAGCAATATAAATAAAAACTGAGCCAGTGAACATAGTGCCCACTGCTATAAATCTTCCATCATCCCTTACTGCAAGCGCAGATAGACTTTCGTCAATTGTTATCGTCTTTCTTAAAGTAGCTTCATCACTTCCGTCCCACTGTTGCAAAACGCCCTTGTCGTTTTTACTGGAAGTTCCCTTTGAATTTGATATAGTATACACCCTGCTCTTCTTCTTGTCCTCTTCAACAGGACCAAACCTAAAGCGAAATAAAAAGATTTCTCAACTAAGATTAAGTCCCAAAAATATAAATTCAGAAGACTTTTTAAAATAGGGGTTTGCAACAGCAGAAGCCATATCAACCCCCCGGAGAGCTGGTGTTAAACAAAAATTCAAGTATGTTTGGTTCAAATTCAGAGCTATTGACTAGGGGATTTAACTGTTGTGGCCACTGACGCCCCCAAATTTTTTAAAAATATTTGAATAATTTAAATATAATCTTTGTTCTATTTTGTTTGATTAAAAAAGACATGAAACTTTGGTAATTTTATTTTAATATGTTTTGTTAAATTTAAGGGTGATTGCCTCATGTTTGCGATGCTAGTTTTGGATTCTAATTCTGGCATAGCCTGTCTTTTTAAATGAGGAAATGCAAAGCAAGTATTGTAAAGTGGTGTGACTCTTATCTGTGTCACCCTGCAGGTCGTTGTACATTAAGCCTTCCTGTATAATTTTATTTTAAAAGAGCTTTCAATTTTTCATGTTTATATATACATGCAAACAGGAAAATCAATTTAAAAAAAAATATTATTTTGCGTAAGCAATTATTACCAATCTTGAAATTAATAAAGAAATTAAGGAAATTAAGTACAATGTTTAGGGGTCAATTTAATTTAATTTCAGGGTACACTGAATTGATAAATCTTTCAAACAGCATCTCCCCATTTATGCCATTAATTCCTTATTGGGGTCCGTTTCCTTGAATCATTTGATAACCAACTTCATGCTGCCTCTCAATTTTGCAACTGAAAGTGAGAAAAAATATAAAATCAAAGCTGTGACTTACCGACATCGTTTGAAGCAAAATTTTGAATTTGCGAGTGGTGTCCATTTAAGATCGTTGATTTTCTTTCCATTGGAGACATTCCAAAGGATTGCCAAACCATCCTTAGCCACACTGACAATCTAGAAATTCATGTCAAATCATTTTTGATTGTGTGGCTTGTTAGAGATAAGGAAGTTATTTAATTGATCGGCTCTCAATGGAAAATGCTTTGATAAAGATAAACAAAGTTTAATTATTTTGTCAATATTTTATAATTATCACCTTTTTAGAATCCGGACTGAAATCAAGATCGTCTAACTCATTCGTATGAGCGTGTATGTCACACATGGGCTTCAACGAAGGGAAAGCCCAAATCCTAACGTGACCATCTGTACCACCTGTCACCATGAATTTTCCACAACGCGATATTCTAACAACCCTCTGTACAGGCTCATTGCCACTAAAATGTAAAAAATAAAAATAGTAACTTTGTATTATATATGGTTGTTGGTAGGTATTGGTCTGTGAGTTGGTGAACACATGTTGTCCCTTACATACTTATATAGATAACCTCAATGAATATGTTTGAGTAACATCAAAACCTGAACACTGACAGACCCAGTGCCAATTCAGCATATACTTTATTATTAATTAATTTTAAAATAAAAGAATTTCCCTTTTATTTTTGCCTTGAATCTTAGTGGATTAATAAACAAATATTGATACACAAAGACATTAAGTTTTTTTCTAAGCTATCATCAACTTGTTAGTAAATTACATATTTTTTATTTTATTTATTAAGTATATAATGGTATATAAGTAGTTTATAATCCTTGTTCAATGATTAAAACTGACAGTTACGACGATTATGAAATTCCTTCTTATCAGAAAGAACTAATTAGATAATAAGGTCAATGGCCAAAAATCTAAAACATTCTTTATTTTTTCATCAAAGATTTATCTTTGATTTAGTCAATTCAACTTTAATTTTTATACTAATCCTGCCTCATCCCTGACTGTATTTTAATATACAATTACAAAGATCTTGTTTCAAAAGTTCTTTAGAGGGTAAAATATGAAAACATTTGTTATCCAACTGTTAATAAATCACAAACTATTTAAGTGTATTTTTGTCTTAAGCGATAAGTATTTTATTTACAGTGTGGTCTTCCAAATAAGGTTAGTATTCTGAAAGCTAATCTTAACGCTCTTCGGAAGGATAAAAAAAATCATTATCCTAATTTGGTCCTAATACTACTAATTTAATTACATATTTCTATTTCACTCACTGACTATTAAAACAAAACAACTATTGTAATTTAACTATTTCAAGAAAGAAGAAAAAGTATTGTATGCTTCTCACTTAGTCAAAAATTAAAATATAGCTGTTAGAAAAAAAACATGCAAAGTATAGAATTTTGTTAAAAATAAAAAATGTGCCTTACATCTAACAAGGACTTGATTTTTTTTAAAGCAAAGTGATTAATGGATAGTTTATTTACCACAAAAATTAAAATAATGAACAAAATTATGACTGCAGTACCAATAACTGACCTTTTTTGTTATTGGTAAAGTAGTGTAGTGCCACTCTAGACAAAGCAACCTTCTAAATATCTCATTTACATATCTAGTTTTATTTCGAAGTGTCAAACAAATAATCTGTTAATAAGTTAGGTTTACGATATTCCAGTGTAATTGTCAGTGATTAAATGTGACTTTGTTCTTGTAATTGTATGCAACTTATTTGTTAAACCTACATACAGATACAACCTAAAAGAATGTTGAACCAATTCTTTTACAATAATGTGACATATATGATTTAAAAAAAAAAAATTAACAATAACCTACTTAAAATCAGTTTGTATACTATCAGCTGCATTAAATTTAAAACTAATAAGTTTGTTGTGGGATTTTTTCCCTTCATATTTAACATTTTCTTCCTTGGTATCACGATCAACTTTCCTTTGCCTTAAATTGTTCGGCTCTGCCACTCCATTAACAGAACCTAAAAAACAATAATACAACTTTGTATTTAGCTGAAAAAAAGTTTCCAAAATATAAACTATTTTTGACATCCCTCAGACGGTAAATCGTATGATGATTTGTGTCGTTGTTATATTGTAACAATAATGATTATTATTTTGAACAGGTGAAACTAAGTAAATCCCTGGGGTTTTGAACAAGTGAATTGCTTGTCTTTTTAGTTATGCATCTGAAACTTAACTATATAAAAATTAAAATAATTACTTACTTTTATCACTCTTTTCCTCTTCAACGGTAATACCTATACGGTATAATTGACAGTGGCTTTCCTGACCAGCAGCTAGGTATGTATGTTTACTGTCACTGTAAGAAGCACAGTTCATAACCACTTTGGGGCCTGTCTCATGGCGGACAACTTCTTTCGCAAGAAACCTCTTTCCATCATACATCAATTCAAAGATTTCCTATATTAACAAACAAAAGAGTTTTACAAGCAAATACATTATTGTGTTGGGAAAACACTAAACTGAGAGATCTAGGAGAAATTGTCATGTTTAAAGGATAGATACATATAGAATTTTTCAGATGCTATGGCTAAGGAGTGACTGAAAAAATAACTTACTGCACTTATTAATAGACAATAGAATAAAAAATTGCCAAATTTTAAAGAGGAATTAATGACCAACTAATTGCTAAAATGTGTTCCATTAACTAATTAACCAGATTAATATATAAATATGCAGTTTACATCACAATAAGGAAGAAGTTTCTATATAGAAATTTAAATTCAATCTGGAAAAATGGGGGGGAATAAAAAAAAAAAAACATGATTCGAGTTTGTTTAACATTCTTTTCTGGTAATATAGTTACGTTTATTATAAAGATGACAAGGAAGAAAAAAACAGTCTGTATGGGTTTGAGGGTAGGTGCCAACAAATGATTATTGTCTGAACTCAGTATTGAGGACCCAGCTCAGTTTTCGTTTTTTTTTTAAAGAATGAAACCTGCTGATTTTGGAAAGCTTGCTTGCAAAACGGGTCCCCTTATATCAAAGCAAAATACCAAATTCAGAAAAGCTATTAGTGTAACAGAATGACTTTCTGTAACTTTGCTATTTTTAGCATCTGGTAAAGTAGGTACCTACTATTAAATACAAATTTTTAGCTTAACTTTTTTTTTTTAATTTTAGATTTAAACCACTCATTTTCTGTCACTCATCTATACGCAACACTTATACTGGACCCGAACCCTTCTATGGCATAGGAACCCACACTATCAACAACCTCAGACAGAAGGATAAAAAGAAAGTGAGGGAACAATGGAACTCACTCATTAGACACAAAAAATCTAAGAACCTCCTAACAAATTTCAAAAGGAAATAATTAACAGAATGTACCTAAGGAAGCAGGAAAAAACCGCGAATCCTAACAGGGTTCTTAAGTTCCTTAACAGGACATTGCAAACTAAACATACATTTAAATAAGATTGGTATAACTCAAGACGGCTCGTGCAGATTCGGCAAAGAAGCAGCGGAGACACCAACACACCCATTAACAGACTGTAATTCTACACTTGGCCACAGGAGGAAGTGCTTTGGGACTACAATATAACCGTAAAAGAAATTCAACCACTGAAACCAGATAATCAAAATACTCGATGAAATAGGACTCACCGGTGTGCTAAAGGGACAGAACGGGGAATACAATAGGTCTTAAGAGCACAGTATTTTACAGCCCGACAGAAAAGTAGACTAATGGCCAACTTTTGTGATAAGTGTTGAATAAGTAAGAACTCGGAAGAATCCGATGTTTACAACTATCGGTACAGAAGTGTCAATACAAATATCTAGTAGTTGAAACATATATCTCTGACATAAATTCACTTCATTAGACACGATTCGACATAAATGCAACGCTATAACTGTCAGATGTAAACGTACCTTTATACATTTTGTGTGTTATATGTTTGCTAGATACTGAATTTGTTTTATGATATTCGTGTAGCTGTGGTGAGTTTATATGTGCTGGTTCTGTATATTTTCAGTCATTTTATTAATTTTATTTGGGTATACTGTTTTATGGTGTTTATTAAACAGCATATTGTTGAAATAGTGAAATATTCATTTCATACTGATTTAATACAATATAAATATGTATTCATGTGAAACATTTTGTTTGTTTATAAACAGAATGAATTAGTGTTTAAGAAAATAGGCCAAGGCTTTTTAATTATTTGTGGCTGCCCTTTTCAGAGCAACAACAACTTTTTTGAATAATATTTGCCAACAACTTACAAATCCATTAGCCACACCAGTTTTAGCAGAACCTCCTCCACCAGCCACCAGTACATGTCGATTTGTTAGCATTTGCAAGGTGTACAGAGGAAAATTGACCCTGGCTAGCAGGCCTTCGTTGCTTCGCCGTCTCGGGGCCATCACTCAATAAATAAACAAGTTTTTCACAAAAAGAAAATACAAACTATTTGTTATCACCGAAAACTTTAAGCCCAACATTTTCCCCTTGATGTCATCCTTTAGCACACGTCAGGAATTGAACTGAAACCAAATTCACTGCCTCCTTTCCTATCGAATTTTTATATACATAAAAGCTGTCCGTTTTTCTCCTGTTCCGTGCAAATAGTTGCGAATTTCTTCTTATTTTGTTAAAATTTAAATATGTATACATTTAATGTTTATTTAGCCTGTTTTCCGTAAATTGTTAAAAGTAAGTGACTCAAGTCGTTGCCCTATCGATGTATATCGATCCCATTTGAAAATATAGATTGTCATCTCTCCAATATAAAACTTTCCAACACGTATTTCAGTTTAATCTATAATTAATTTTTTTGTATAAGAATAATTGCGTAAAAATAAAATTTGGTCTCTTATTTAACAATCAAATCTAGCCTTTACAAGTATCTTTAAAAGTGGATGAAATTAAAACTGAATATTTACTTTATATATATAAATCCTAAGCATAGCTGTCATAATTGACTTGTTTAATCATTTCATCTATTAATACTTTTTGTCTAAAGTTTTGATTGAGATGAAAAAGTTAATATAACGAGCTGGATTCGAACCTACAACCTTCGGGCCAATGTACCACTTCTCTAGCCACTTGAGCACAGATTTATCTACGTATATAGGGTGTTCAGCTACGTGTGTTACAAACTTTGCCAGTAGATTCTACATTCAAAATGGAACCAAAAAGTCCTAATTAACTATGGTCCGAATCTCAGCAGTTTCCGAGTTATTCCATTTTTTCTGATTTCATGAGCTTATAATAAAAAAAACGTTTAATAAATTCATTCAAAATTTCCTTAAGTTTTTTATTTTTTATTATTATTAATCGTTCCACCTTACCAATCTGTCAGCACACTTTTTTTCCTTTCCTCCATCAATTTCTTCACTTTTGAAAGAAGTAATTACACCACTAAAAAGGATATTAAGTGTACGTTTTCTGAAATTTGCTGGTCTCTAGGTTTGGAAGTAGTAGTTTAGATATAGTATAGAAAGTTTTTCAAAATTCTTGCTTATTTCACAAATGTTTAATAAGTTTAATATTGATCAAATCTTATTGGAAATTTAACGTAGTTTTCAATGGTATCAATGGATTTGTCCAAAACCTTTTAGTTTTGGTTGCAAGGTTGTGAAAACTTAAAAAATAAGAAAAATGGAATAACTTCGAAACTGCTGAGATTCGGGCCATAGTTAATTAGGACTTTTTGGTTCCATTTTAAATGCAGAATCCACAGGCAAAGTTTATAACAAGAGTAGCCGAACACCCTTTATAAAACAGTTCTGTGACTAACAACGCATAGACCAAACCGCTGAGTCTAAAGGGCTGAAATTTTGACAGTGCATTCACATAGCCATTTAGAAAGGATATTTTTAAGTTCCATTCCAAAAGGGATCATATGGACAATTTTTTACCGTGCATAGACTGAAGTGAACTGAAGAACAAGAAGAGAAGAATTTGTGAACCATTAAAAAGCCATCTAGCACTCTACATCGCATCAGAAAGGTACATTAAAACAGTCCTGCTTGGATGAAGTTATGGGTAAATTTTTAATATTTTCTTTCACCATTAAAAAAAAATTAATCTAAAGCAAAATGTAAAAGTTAAGTTTTTTATTGTATCAGGAGGAGTAACTTGAAGTTCATATGTACTGATCACTATTTTTTGTTTGTTTTCAGATTGTTCATCACCCGATAGATTTTGTGGCCAATGGGAGGGAGTTATAATTTTTTATTAATTAATATAATAAATATAAATAAGTTAATATGTTATAAATATGTTCAGGAAGATGTTTTAAATAAGTTTACAACAAATTTTGTAATGTATAATGGTGATGTTAATCAAATAAAATGTCTTTGTGCTTTTTCCTTTTTTTGTTATTTGTAATATTCTTGTAATATACAATAATATAAAATATATAAAACTCAACAATGTAGATATTTATATAGTTTGGTAATTTACAAGATTTGTACATAGTAAAATTATACTAGTGTAATAATTAATGTTTAATTATTTTAAAAATTTCCAGCAATTACTGAAAGACAAATCTTTCCCAAACTCTTCTCCTTCTGCGATTGTTTGTGGTAGTGATTGATTGAGGGTTTCTGGCAGTCTTAACGACAATGTTCCTCCGATAACTGAAAGGATTCCAAGTATGACCAAAGGTAGTGCAAGGTCATCTGACCCCTGAAACCACATTTGTAATTGATCAAATGAAATAATTAATATATGATGTACGTACGAGGTATGTCACAAAAGGAAGAAAAACACGTCCCACAGCGCTGCAGTATGCGGATACAGCAAGCCCCAGCCCTCGTGCATCTGTGGGATATAGTTCACCAGCATATGTGTACATTATGAGAAATGAAGCTGAGATAGCAAATTTGGATATTAAGAATATGACCATAATGGCTATAACTGCATCTAAAGAAATAAAACCAAATAAAAAATTTAAAAAAATGTTACTTTAAAGACTTGTGAACAACCTTTTGGAAGAAAAACTGTAATTATGCAGAACACTCCACTAATTATCATAAGAACGAAAATAGGAAGTTTTCTCCCCCATGCATCCATCATGTATTTACATAACAAATTTCCTGGGATTTCGACCAAAGCACTGAGGAAAAATGAAAGGTGTTTTTCACTGCCTAAAGATGGACTGTAGTAACTTAAACCGATATATACAATTTCATTTACAAACCTGAAACAATTATATTTTAATGATTCAATTAAAACAAATTTTTAATATAAATTAAATTATTTTGTATTAAACTACCAATTGTAAGAAATCAGAATAGTTTTCATTCTCATATTAGGACTCCGGAAGAAATCTAGAATGTTAATGTTTTTCTTTTTGGAACATTCTAGTGATCCTGACTGAAGAGGCGCCATGTCCTGCATTTGGATTGAAATTAACCCCAAAAATTATTTTACAAATATAATATTTACTGGATTACCTTGAGATCCATAAAGGAATCTTTTAATTGCCTTTTGTTAATCCTTGCTATGTTTTTCATCACTTTAACTGCTTCTTTGTGATGGTTTCTTGCCATTAACCACCTAGGAGATTCTGGAATAAAGCTTACGGTATATTTTAACTTAAAAGAATTAGTTGTTTACAATCTTATAATGCTAACTAGTCTTCTTACCATAATACAAAAATATAAACTGAAAATGGGGCAGCGGTTAATATTGTCATGTATCTCCAGTGCGGAATCAAATAAGTAATGGCAGAAAGTGCCATTAGTCCAAAAGTAAATGTAAAACATGACATTAAAGAAATCCATGTCCGATATTTTTTTCCTACAATTTCAAGAGCTAAAAAATAATTCAAAAATGCATAATTTATAAATTTATCTGTTATTAAATGCTCAATAATTAATTATTAAGTAAATAATACAATGCTGGATTTAATTTTGGTTTTAATCAACTGTAAGTTAATTATTTATTTTACTGGCTCTGGTACTTATGCAACAAATAGTTTTTTTTGTAGGTTTTCATTTAAAGAATTTTTTTAAAAATTTCCTTTGGCTGAAAACCCATATAAAAACTTACTATCAATGTGTATTAACATTGATTTTAAATTTTTTACAGAATGCCACTCCTGAAATAAATATAATTGATGCACCTAGTATAAAAACAATGTGGTAAAGAGCTGGAATTGTTGTTCCCAGAAACAATCTTGTTATCATCCAGAAAACTATATTAGGTGCAAAAGCTGACAAAGTATTGCTCAAAATTGTTACCGTCAAGCATACTAATAAGGAAAATTTTCTTCCAAATCTGCAAGATACAAAATACAATACAATATACAAAATTACATATAATTTTCAGAGAGTAAGGCTAAAAGATGTACCTGTCATTAATTAATCCAAAACAGAAAATACCCAAAGGTCCACCCATATTTAAAAATGAAAGACCAATCGTTGGATAAATACTCTTATTACATACAAGATCAAACTGAAAATGTATTATTTATTTATAGTGCTTCTTATTCACATAAACTATATTCATTCGTTAAAAATATATTTACATCTATGGCAACTGATGAACTGACTTCAGTTGTGTTATATTCCCAACCATCTATGCACGATTCCACAGGCCATGAAGCATTTGGAAGACTAATATTTTCTCTTATAATTTCTGTCCAATTTACTTTGTACCTCCAGCATTTCTCATAATTGTTGTATCCTTCCTATCAACCAAACGAAAACATTAATCATAAGGTTCATACACATTATCCATTTTACAAGTAGTATAAATACCGCTAGAGGGATAGATAACATTCTCCTTTTTTCTGAATCATTCAAAAGGAGCTCTAAATCAGGCACTCGGCACCAATGGTTAGGTACATCAGACATAAATATTTGATTAAAAGTTGTGAAACAACTAGGTATTAAAATAGGTAATAGGATAGTCCATAGTAATATCTTTTGGAATCTACCATATTCACCAATATGAGGATAATAATCATCTATGTCTTGCATGGTCTCCCAAAATGTGTGAAAACAAACTAAAAATGTAACATAAAAGTTATTTTAATTAATTATACTTTTAATAGGTTTCGCTTTTTCATCTCTTAAAGTATAATTAATTAAAATTAATACAGTCAATTATGACTAATAAATATATGGATAAAAGTTATTGTTAAGCTTAATTAAAATAGGAAATAATCAAACCTATTTTCTCTTTTGCTTGTAATTTTGAATTTTTGTCTGTAACTTGATCACCCCAGGTCAGCCAATTCTCAATGTATTTATTTTTCAGAGATGTTTCAGCATTTCACCATCTTCACTGAGTTCCCGACTAAGCTGCAAACAATGTTCAACACCTTCATAGACCCAAAGGGGAAAAAAATGTTTTCATATGCATAACAAATAATGGAGAACAACCAATTAGATAGAATGAAATTTACTTTTTAAATATTTGTATATTTTTTTGGTTACCAGATCATTAATAATGTAGCATAAACTTACTTGTTTCTTTTTTGCCCAGATGCGTTTTAGATTTTTGCCATTCCAAGTTGTTATGCCAAAATCACAAGATGTAGAAACACGTCTGACATACAAAACCAGTGAGAATAGACCATACCAGGACAATCAAGCTACGTTTCACAATTCGATCAATGTCATGTCATTTTAAAAAGAAAAGTCTTACACCCAAAATGTAATCCAAGTAGAAAACAACGTGCTTAATGAACTGACCTTTTTTTTGAACTGTGAATAGAATGGAAACTAGGAAGATATTGCATCAAGGTATGCTGCGTTATCTTTATTTTCTTACAATTTGTTTGATGGTCATTGCCTAATTAAATAATTACATAATTTTGCTAATCTAAACCAAATAAGCCTCTTTGAACATAATTCATTTTTATGGTGGCAAAAAAAAATTGAAACACAGTATGCTATTATTCAAAAAATACAACAAAGTGAAATCATCTTGAATTTTTTATGATAAAATTGATAGTTTGCGGAAAAACACGTATAAATTAAAAGAAAATTAAATAAGATGGTTCAGGTAAAGAACCTGTAATTTAGTCAGTACCGATCATTTTGGAATGCCTTGCTGGGTTGATTAGGGATGGACAAATAAATCTTGAGATAACAATATTTAGTTTAAAAATTGTCTATGTGCGATGCTGACCTATTCTGAGTTGTGTCTTAATAGACTTTTTGAGGACTGAAGTTTTTGGAATGCCTTCTACTATTAAGATTTCAATATCCAGAACTTCTCTGCACTTCTAGTTCAAAAATGCTGCACTCTTTCATTGATTTTATTTTTTATCATGTTTGTCAAATCAAGAGGTTCGGGCGCTTCCATAGTTTTATTGGAATACAATTTGTGTCCACAAAAAAACCAATCACAGCTGAGAGGGTGCAGATAAGATAGGTAGAACATCTCAAAAATAAAACCACTACTATAATTTTTTTAATTGCTATAATATTGAAAATTTAACATTTTTATATAATTAATTTTCTAAACTATGTACAGTTGCAATGAAAGTTGTTAAAATTATTTTATAAACTAATATTTGGCTATTAAATTTAAAGATCATTTTAAAACCAATATGTTAACTTCATGCTACCATAAGAATCCAATGGTGTCTCCATAATACTAGCTTGTTTCACTAATTTTGGAACTCTATGCTGTCTTGTAATAGGAGTTGTTTCAGATAATGAACTAGTAGGTAACAACGCAATGTCTGTCTTTTTATCCAAGTCATCATACGCTTCTGAATCTTCAAGCCTAAGGAAAAAAAGAAGCTTTAAGATGGTTTAAAAATTCAGGCTTAAAAGTATAAGACCTTGGAGGGATGCAACTACAGCAGTCCTTGATAGACCACTCTTTTCCAAATTCTTCTCCTTCTTCAACTGTTTGAGGTAAGCTGTGGTGGAGAGTTTCTGGTAATCTTAATGATGAAATTCCGCCAATTATGGAAATAACACCTAGAATCACTAATGGTAGAACCATAGATTCAGAACCCTAAAATGAAATAAATAAAAACTATTCTTTTTGTTCTGTTTTTTCTATATCAACACATTTTTGAACATGTTAGTGGTCTTACCAGATGAGTTATAAAAGGTATGATTGCTAATCCAAGGCCACTTATGTATGCAGCGGTCCCAATACCAATACCACGTACTTCTGTTGGAAAGAGTTCTCCAGCAAAAGGGTAAATAATTAAGAATGATGCAGATATTGCAAACTTTGACACAAGAAATAAAACTAATATCAACAAAACAGCATCTAGAAAATAAATGTTTAATAAAATACATACAAATGATAATAATATAAAATACAATTTTACCTGAAGGCAAAAGGACAGTTATAATGGATAAAATTCCACTTAGAATCATTGAAACTGCTAGTGGCCATCGTCTTCCCCATCGATCCATAACAAACCAAATTAATAAGTAACTTGGAATCTCAACAAGGGAGGACAGAAGAAAACTTAAGTATGGGTTACTGCCAAGTGCAGGTCCGTAATAACTTAATCCCACATAAACCATCTCATTGGCAAACCTATTTAAAAAGTTTCATTTTTTAAATACTTCTACACTATGCACACTATTAAATGTAAAATAATACTATTACCAATTTAAAGAAATAAGAAGAGTTTTAAGTCTCATGTTGGGTGTCTTAAAAAGGGCCTGAATTCCAGGCCCCATTTTATGTTTTTCTTTCTTGGTTTCTAGGAAAGAAATGTTCTCCTACATGCAATAAAATGGTTTAAATTATTTATGAATTATACTATAATTTTGCCTAAAAAGCCTACATACTTTAAGTTTCTGTTTAACACTTGGAGGAAAATCTTTTTTATTAATTCTTGCAAGCTTTTCCAATATTTTTAAAGCTTCTTTAAACTGTCCTCTTGCAATCAACCATCTTGGCGACTCAGGAAGGAAACTATAAGAGTAGTAAGTAACTTTAAAATATGCGACGGGTAGATATACTAATTAAATGTACTTGCCACCAGTAAATATAATAAAGGACAAATGGTGCAGAAGTTGCGATAGAAAGTACTCTCCAGTCTCGCAACATGTAAGTCACACCTGACAATATTATCAAGCCAAAAGTGTAAAATAGACATGTCATTACAGTAACAAAAGACCTGTAATTTGGCCCGACCAATTCAAGAGCTGAAATTTTTGTAGTTAAGTTTCCGTACTTTCAAAGCAAGAAAATAATGAGATTTTTAATTGACGAGACACTCACATATAATAAAAGGTATCTGATAAACAGCTGGGACTGTAAAACCAACTATTAATCTAGAAACTGCCCAAAACCAAAAATTGGGAGCTACTGCTGTAAGCAGATTACCAACTATCCCAATAGTTAAACAAGTAAAAAATGAAATTCTCCTTCCACATCTAAAAATACATTTTTAAAAATTTATATTCAAAATGTATATTTCAAATATAAAATACATGCCTATCATTGATTACACCAAACATATAAACGCCAAAAGGTCCGCCAAGGTTTAAACCCACTAATCCAAGAGTTGGGTAAATATTTTTGTTGCAGACTAAGTCGAACTTAGTAGAAAAGCAATTTAAAAAAAAAGAAACAAGGACAAGTTAAAGAAAATATTTAAAAACATTAGTACTAGCACAGTATTAGGGCGAATAAAAGATTTACTTAATGTTCTCCTTGAAATTTGATTCACAAAAAATGTACTGCCGATTTGTGGAGCATTTTATCTTTATGGAAATTGAGGAAATAGATAATTTTTTGGAAGATATGGTAGTCTGTTGAAAGAACATTTCTCTCTCAACATTACAGGCTTGCATTGCCAATTTAAATTTTTTCAAAATCCATCAAATACAAACTGAACATAAAATGGTGACATTATATTTACAAAATGATTTAATATAGTAAATCATCAAATAGATATTTTTTATACATATTTTTGGAGAAGGCAGAGGGATCAAAATTTTCATGGAAGGCAGGGTAATCAAACCCACAACTGAGGTCAACAAGCCAAGAGTCTGAGCCCTAACCACTTGGTTACTGTGACCCACCTAATAAGACCGATCACAATTATATTGCAAGACAATGGGATATAAATTCAATTAGCATTGATTTAAAAATTTTTGACACCCAAATATGAAAATAATACTGATACTAATTAGCTTTTAAGGATTGTTAGCTGTATATTATTTTAAATGAAACACCCAGCAGCAACATTGAAACAAATAATTAAATGGAATCAAGCCTGTCTATCCTCACTGGTCTGCCAGACCGTTTCTTGCATTTGCCATCTTCAATGCGAACATTGAAGGGAAAACGAGATGAGACTGAACAAAACATGAGGACAGGCAGACCAAATATGATCGGTAATGACCAAATTTAGGATTCATTACCCTAGACCACATGGAGAAATTTTAAAATTTAAAACTAAAATCAGTACTTACATCGATTACAATGGAAGAATGAATTTCTGTCAAGTTGTACTCCCACCCATCTAGGCATGATTCGACAGGCCACAATGGGTCAATTGTAAAATTATCGAAATTTGGATATATTTCTACAATTTCAGACCAGTTAACTGCATATCGTAGGCAACTATGGTATGTATCATTTCCTTCATACTATAAAAAAGAACTGAATTAAAAATTTAAAAGATGAATACATTTTGATACTACAAAAAAAAAAAAAAAAAAAAAAAAAAAAAAAAAAAAAAAAAAAAAAAAAAAAAAATTACCAAAGGGATCGCAATTTCACGTCTTTCCTGTGGATCTATAATATAATTTTCAAGTTGTGGAATTCTACACCAATGTTTCGGCGAATCAGCCATAAAAAGTTGGTTAAAAGCTGAGAAACTGCATGGTATGCATGCTGGAAGAACTATAAGCCATATTAAGAGCTTTTGGTAGAGGCCAAACTCTCCAATCTGAGGTAGAAGTTCATCCAGGTCAATGCCTTCCTGTTTGTTGAAATAGAAGAAAAAAAAAACTCATGGGAATGTACACTTTGATTACATATTTGTAATAAATTCAAAATACATAAAAAATGTGATTGTGTTAATTTAATGATTAACATGTTATGCACACAAATGGATGAAGACAATCAAATTAATATTTTCATATTAATAAAAACTAAACCCTCATACATCCAGTTATCCGGTGGTTTTATTTTATTCATGTAATTTTCTAATCAAGTGAATGTGTAAGCAGATTAAGAACAAATTTATTTTTTTGGGGGATCAAAAAATCCTTTCACCATCATTTTTCCACATAGGCCACTTGGTCCTATTTTTCATTCATGAATGCAGAATGGCTGAAATGTCTGAAAGCAATACAGAATGTCTGAAATGACTAGAAATGTTTAATGGCCAAACTGTCTGAAATGCAAGAATATAAATTTCAAATTAGTGTAGCAACAAATGTCCAAATTTTTTTAAGTACTTTGGACATCTGTTAACAGATTTCTACTTCAGAAAGCTTGTTGAAATTCCATGGTTTCTACAAAAGCGTGCAAATACTTAGTGAGTAAATTTGCGAAAAACAAGCTGTGGTTTAAAAAAAGAATTAAAGCTTGCAACAAAAATCAGTTAAAAGCATTTAAAAAAAGCTTGAAAACCAATATAATAATGTTGTTAATGGAAATTTGCATTTCATTGAAAATTCAACCACAGCAATTAATAATACTTTTTTTGCTAAGCTGGCTGAAACCCAATACATGTTAGCTTAGTGAGTTTCTACCACACATTATCGTTTTTCCAACTAGCTTCCAAAGGGACTAGGGAATTCCGCTTTTTAATATATATGAAACTTTTAAATTATGCTAATTACTAAAGTGCATCACAATTTGTCATTTTATATATACTAAAAATAATTTTTTTTCTAACTATTTATGTATTTTTATCATTATATTAATTACAACATAACACTGGAAAATCATTTAGTGATAGATTAAAATTTAATCTACCACTACTCGATTTTCCAGTGTTTTGATGAATTTTCTTTCAAACCTGATGATAAGCAAATAAATTTGATTAAAACTCATGAATTTCTGATCTCATTTAATTATTTAAATTAAAATAAAGTCTATTTTAATCAATATAACAATAAAAATACATATAGTATGAAATAAACAAGAAAATACAAGTGTCCGGTTTTTTTCCTTGAGTAAATTTATAAATGTACATATATTTTATAAAGTACTTAACTTTGTGCATCTTATTGTAGCTAGTGATAATTATTATTTAATCTTTTACTACCGACTGAAACGCCTATATCACTGTCAAAATTCAGTTTTGCCATAAAATTCAATTATGATTTTTCAAAAATTATAAATGTATTATTTATTTAACCCCTGACAATGCACTTTCTGTGTACATTAATGTTTTTAGTGGCATGTTATAATTTGTTGAAGTCTTGAGTAGCGGCCGGGAATAAAGAATTTTAGGAAAACACCTTTTCATTTCTTACCGCATCTCCAACCCCCGTCATACAAAAACAGCAGATTCACAATTTTTTACCCAAAACCATTATGGCACCACAAGAATAGCTTCACTTTATAAGAGTAGGAAATACTTGGTTCAAAATTTATATTTACATCTGCATTGCATTTCCAATCAATGTATGTTCTGAAATTCACCCAGTCTCTGAAGATGACCTGAATAAAGGTCGAAACGCAAAAAAAAAAGGAATTTTTCTTAAATTCTTTATTCCCGACGGTACATCATGACTTCAACAAATGTATACATTAATTTAACATATCCACATTTAAAACCTTTGGTATTTTTCGTTTAGCTAGTCACAAGCTTGGCAACCGCTTGTGCCTTGTAGGCGGAGAAAAGCTTCTTCCTTGTTATTTTTTTTTAAAAATGAAATGTTACTTATTTCATAATTACATTTCTGAAGTGTATTAATGATACATAGAGAGAAGGGGAAAAAGACAAAAAATGATCTCTATAATGCTTTTAATCAAGGAAATGACTGAATAAAGTAATTGAATACTTTTGCAATAGAACATGTATTTTTAGGTTTTTAAATCGAGAATGGTTTGAAAGAATGAAATAAAAATTATTACTTACATTTTCACGGACTCTTAACGGTTTTATAGAGTGTTGTTTGTTAGCCATCACAATACTGAAGCCATACTAACACATTGATCCATTCACATAACTCTACTACTAAATAATAAAACAACTGATGTTTTCTTCCATATTTCTTTATATTTGTTTAGCCGATACATTTTGCAATACCCCATAAATGAAAAAAATATTGATACAAATTAAGACGAACAAAAGATAATCTACTCTAACGGCTATATTTGTTAAATAAATAAAAAAAAGAAAACTAGATCATGTTTATAATCCTAGGATACAGGAATGGTTTTATGATGTTTAAATTAAATCTAAAAACAATATAACTTGTAATTTAATTAGTTTTGTTTGAAACTAATAGGTAAGTAAAATAGAACAACTTACAAATTTCAATAGCTTTTCAATTTTATTTTGACTTAAAAAGCATGGGCAAAAAGGAGCAGTAGTACAAGCAATAAGGATTGAAAAATAGGAAGCCAAGGGTGCTGCTATAATAGTGTTTTGACAAGCTTCTGGGATCAGCAATGGCACAGTATCACTCATACTACACACTAGATTCACACATTAACATTCACACACACATTCAACAAAACAACCGAATCCTCAGTCATAACAATAGTCATTAATAACAGACAAAATACATTTGTACAAAAGTTTTTAGCAAACATACTCACAAACGCTCATTGATACAATGCATAATATATATATACTTCCATACCGTTGGAAGTGTTTTTTTGTTGTTTTTTGTTTATTTAATATTAAATCTATACAATATATATAACTACACTTCGGCAGGCATGAGATTCGCATACATTCGAGGGACGATGATTATCACACAGTCCGGAATAATAAAGAGAGAAGTGCGACACGTTGACAGGCAACATCCTGAAATGAATGCACACACTTCACAATCACAGTTAAATTGAAATAGTTTACAAAACTCTTTTCACAGACACTCAAATGTCTTGCTCAAGACTGCCTTGTACCTTAATTACTATTTATTGTGTTTTCATTTCACATATCAAAAAACATAAACAATAAAACATTTGATTGGAGGAACTGCTCTTCTTATTTTGTTTAGGCGATTGTATATAAATTTTTTTCCATTAAAAATAGCTTCTAATAAATAAAATGCAACAGTTTCAATAGGATGTTTCATCCTGGTTTAAAACTGTGAAAATTGATTACATCTAATTTTTTTGATTGTTTAGTTTTAAGGAAGATTACAAGTCTTTTTAAAATGGATAAAATGAAACATTTCACAAAACCATCGCATTATAATACACATTATGTAACTATTTTTGTTTTACTTTCAAGTAATGATTTGTACTAGCAAATGTAATATTACAAATTTATATATATATATTTTTAAAAAAAGTTATCAGAATAATGTCTTTTATAATTTGAGACAATGCTGAGCTTTAAGTCTTAAATTAGATAAATTTTTTTATTTTGAATAAAAAATTATCATTGCTAGTACAAAACAAACACTTAAAATAACCTAAAATTACTTCTGAACGAATATTTTTCTCTGCTAATTCTAATTTAATTTTTAACATGACAAGACAACCTGAGCTTTTAACATTTCTCATATAAAATTATTATCAAGGCACTTCATTCAAATTTATTTTCAGTTCAGATACAAATAGTGAAGTACCTTAAAAAATAAAAAAACAAAAATAATAAAAGTTATAATAAAATAAAAATAAATTAAAAAAGCACTTCTCAGCTCTCTTTAGCAACCGTCATGCTTTTCCCATTACATTTGGAATCTTAGTAAAATGAATATAAAGATGATTTTTTAAATAAAAATAAAAGGGGATAAATGTGTTTTCAGTTGAAAATAGATGTGCCTGGTTGAGGGCCCCTCAGAAAAAATCACAGCATAGTTCATACACGCTCAGTCTCCTCGCTCACAAATTATTATTAATTAATTTTTGTTTAAGTCTCTCACAGTCAACATATAATAATTAATATCACTGCACACGTTCGGAGAAACACTTGCACTTTCAGCCTCTCACCCCTCAGGGATAAATCAGCTCCCTTCTCCAATCAGCTCCAATCTCACTTTGGGGTGCGCAATTTTCCAGAAGATAACCAAAAAGAAGGATTATGATGGTTGGCCTTGAATCCCTATTGTCTAAATTCAATCTGCAAAGAATGGAAAAAGCACACTCAGTTTTTCTTCATGACCATTTAAATTTTAAAGTGAAATTAAATAAAATGATTTATTTTTATTTTAAAAATTAAATAATGTAATTGAGCATTATTCACTTAAATGTTGGGACGGAGATTCAATTGCTAAATAAATACTTTATCTGCTAGCAATTTTTTAAATTTATATATCAATTAATTTAAAGAAGTAAGTAAATACAATCATGCAAATTGGTTTAAATTTTAACACACAAAATTTTTCCAATAATTATGTTTTAAAGAAACAGCCGCTTTGTTAACCAACTGTCAACATTTTAATCAATTAGGCCAGTATCATATTATTGACTCCGACCAAAATCGTTTTTGAAGTTTTGGTTATCTTAATTGGAAAAAATTGTTTTACTAAATCATTCATGAAAAAATAAAATATGCAACATTTGGAAAGGAACTAGATGTTGATGTTACTAAATCTTATCTTTGACTTTTTTAGAGGCGCATTAATCTAGTCTGTTTGTTAGTGATCTATGATTTTTGATCTTCAGACAAACATATAACATAAAGGGAGCAGTTTATTTTTTTATAGGATGAGTAAAAACACATATAAATGTAGAAATGCAACATTATTGGAGAAGAAAATTTACTGCCATGGTGAAACCAATCAACCTGCACTGAATGGGTTTTATGGAACATTTTTAAGTGGTGATCAAATCAGCAGGTATGGGGCGCCGGTGACCTGGTTAAGGTGTTAACCTGACGCTCATCGTTCCGCTTATAAGGGTAAGGTTCGAACCCAACATACTTATAAATGGGATTTTTTTTTTCAAAAACACCAGCATCCCAGGGTTATATATGAATTCTGCTGTTGCGAATCCCTATTAAAACAAAGGAGGGGGAAAAAAGGGATCGGTATGGCTATCTGAGTGAACAGTGTGGCTTTACAAGATGCTTTTGAGGCTGGCAAAAGTACTAGTAAATTTTCAAATAATCTAAGTTTGTCATTGTCTACTGTAAATTGCCATTGCCACAAGTCAAGAAAAGTTCTATGCTAATGGTCAAAGCTAACAACACCTGGATAAGACCTTCAACACATCGAGACGATTGTTAGAAATCAGCCTGCTCCCTCGGATTGTTGAATTTTTGAAGCAATTGGCGAGTGAGTGTTTCAGGAAGTCTTTCTGTCAATCTAAGCTCTTTTTGGGACAAATATTACAGCAATGCATGTAAAAGTTTGGAGAAAAGAATACTAGATCTTAAGTGAAAAGAATTTGCTTGCCAACAACATACAAACAAAAACTTACTAAAGTGGAAGATATCAAGCTTCTCCTGACCCGCTCTCTAATCCTGACTTTACTCATTGACTGTTTTGTGCAATCTTCCTTGAAGGAACAACATTTTACCATAGCAAGAAAACATAAATACCACTGGGGGGAGTAGCTAGGAGCGGTCCTCTACTACTACAATCACTTATACTTTGATAGCATACAAAGTTTAATTTTATGTAAATGTATAATTTAATTTAATATCAACTTTAATTATTTTTACTCATCCTAATAATGTAGATTTTTTTTTTTTTGGGGGGGGGGGGTGAATGTGAGCTGAAATTTTGTATAACAAAATAAAATTAGCGTCATTGTTTCATTTTACCTCAAGAGATGCCATACATTATTTTACCTTTTTTAAAGTATTCAAACCAAACATTCACACAACTCTTTTTGTAGATTTCTAAAAGAAAACATGCCTATTCTTATAAAATATAAATTCAACCAGTAAAAAATAAATAATAAATAAAAACGTTTTGTTTTGTTTTATTGGTTTTACTGAGTCTTTGATGAATCCAAAAAAATTGGCATTAACAGGAGTACTTTTACACTTGTTATCTTTAGAAGGGGATTTCACACAATCACAAACTTCATCTTCAAGTTTTCACACTTAGATCATTCACAGTAAGTGAAGAATAGGAGGGCAGGGGTTAAAAATTGTTTGCTTTCTTGCTAATCTGGACTTTCAATAAGCGGGTGGGAGGGATAAGGGTTAACAGGATCCTGAAAGTTATTTTCTGGAATTTCTTCCGACCTGTTAGAACATTTAATTAATTTATTCCATGTGTCTTGCAACCTAATAGAATAGTTTTGGTCTGTGAGCTGTTGAAATGTACTCTTAATGGTGCTGAAAAAAATTGATCCTCCAGCTAATTTGTTATTCATGGTCCAAATAAATATCTGTGAAATGATGACATTTAATAATGAATTTTATTATTTCATATGACATTAATTGGGCAATAGTAGAAAGTATATACATAGTTAACATTTTTTGCTACAGTAGATGAGTGTTAGGTAGTTTGTTATAGTCTAAATCAGGGATCGGCAAATTTTTTTAGAAAAGGGCCAAACCATAAATCAAATCAGGTTCAACAGCCCCCCCCCCCGTGAAACTTGAATAAGTATATATTTTTTTAAAAGATACTTCTACTCATAAAATAAAAAAAAGTTATACTAATATTTTTTTAAAATTAAGCCAGTTCCCTTGAGAAAAGTTAATTTCAAACCAGTTTTGACTGAAACGATAAGCTTATAATTAATTTGGCTTCCAATTTGCTATGAAAATCACAATGCCAGTGTATGTTAAATGTATGTGATAGGAGATATAAATTGCGAGATGGCATTTTTGTATTAATGATTTTTGGTACAATTATTTAATTTCTCTATTCTTTTTTAATCATAACACTGTTCTTTAACATTCCTTGGGGAGAAAAAAATAAATTAAAAAAATTGAAATAACAAGACAAAAAAAAACAAACAAACAAGGAAACAGGGAAAAATAATTTATTAATACTTTTTTGGAGGACACAAGTATGTACTCCTAACTCTAGATCTATAAGCTATATTTTGATATACAACCCCCTCCCCATTTATTTACTATTTTTCCATGTAAAAATAATAAATAAATACAATAATAGTTTGCCGACCCCTGGTCCAAATAAAGAGCCATTAAAGAGAATATGGAGGGTTGTAAGAACAAAATGTACTTATAATCAACCTGGGTAGTGTGTCAATTATTAGTTTTCAACATACGAAAGGAAAGCCTTTGGAAAATATAAGGGAAAAACATGAGCTAGTATCTTGCTCCAATATGAATCAATTCAGTCTAAAACGTATTGAAATAAAAGCGAGAGAATATATATGTTCATAGAAATGATTAAGGTGTGATGAGTATGTAGGTAGATTCACTTTTTGTAAATGATGGTTCTACTTGGTTTAGTGTCATACATTATATGTGCATATAACAACATTTTTAATATAATCATGTGCACACATATACATTATATGCACACAGCATAACAAAATTTCATATTAATTTTAATATAGTAATAGTGTAATTAATATTTATTTTGATCTTTTAAAAGTAAGGAAAAAATCTCTAAACAAAATGGAATCAATCATGATCTATACTCTACTCACCACTGAATTTTTTTTCCAATACTATATTTTTAATATGTACAATAATTACAGACCAGAACCTGTTTTTAAGTTGGAACCAAAACATTTTATTTAATTCTTTTTTAAAAATGTAAATTCTAATTCAGTACAAATGATAATTCAGAAAAATTCAATTTTCTTAATTTGTACCAGTGCATTCCCTGCGGTAATATTCAACTTATTAACTACAGATAAATACAAAGCATTGAGTGATGTATATACATACATATAGACAGCGAACATGCAAACATGTTTTATGATTTTATTTAAAATGGAAAAAATGTTCAAAACAAATCAAATGATATAATATTGCAAGCAGATAAGGTTAAATTATAAAACATTTTGAAGAAAAAATGTGTTTAAAAATCGAACTTACCAGCTAGAGTTTTCTTGTTTGTGTTTGCGAAGCTCCTTTATTGCCCAATTACACATACTTTTGGTGCTGGGTTGGGTTGACTTTTTCCCCTGAGTGAGCATAGTTTTAATCGGCTCGACATCCAGAAGTGGCACCATTTTTGCACCAAAAACCCCACACAAATCCCTATGTATAACAATAATTGTTTTAAATTAAAATTTAAACAATAATTAAATTATCGTTACTACACAATTTTTACATAAAATTTTCTTACCCGATAAGGCCAGCACATGCGGAAATGTTCTTATCATTTTTATTGTTATCTGAAGCGATGATAACAAGGGTTTTAACCATTATAGGAATGAATCTTTCCAATAAAGCGACATCGGGGTTTAAGATGTTAGGATCGTCTCCTTTGAGACCTTGTATAATACCACTGAAACCCTCCACTACGCCTTCACGGAGATTATTAAGCCATTCAATTGTATCATAATCACACTAAAACAAATTAAAACAAAAATTAGTACATACATAAAAGTGTTTTTATAATATTGAAAATACCTTATCAAGTCTGATCTCTGAAGCTTGTGCCAGTGTGTGAAAGGTTATGTCGAGATATTTTTTAAATTCAGGCCCAATACTCATAGCGATGTCACCAAAGACTGACAGAATCTCTGGTTTCACAGATTTGTGCACACTTGCATCCTAAATGGAAGGCAATAATATAAATGTCTCTTTTTGAATAAAATTCGTAAGTTAAACTGTTAAGGTCGAAATATAAGAAAACATTGATAACTCACCCCTAAATTCTCAAGTAAAAGTGTCATAATTTCATCACAATACGGGAGAAGTTTGTTTTTCACCGATCTGCATATATCGCCAGTAAGGCCAACAGCAGCGCAGCAAACCTAAGACAATATTCGTGTCAAGTAAGGTTTAACAGTACCCAACCAAATAACCCAAAACTAGTGATGATGTTACCTGATATTCAACATGATTTTTCAAGCCCATAAATAAAAACGGTTTAAACGCTGGCATATAAGTTATGAACCCTTCCCCAAGAACTTGTACCAAAGTCGAGACCGTCATCAAAGCATCTTCTTGAACAGAACCAAATTTAATAGAGTTTGAATTAAAAACGAGTAATAATGCGTTCATTATAGCATCAGATATTTTTGGTGCATCTTCTAGGGTCATCTTGCGAAGAACACTCTGAAAAATAAAAATCAATTAATCAACTTTGTTAAAATGTATTGGCAATTAACGCACCTGGAGTGTAGCACAAAGAAGGCTTTGTAAATCATTAAACTGAGCTCTATCAGAATGCGACTGAATTTGTTGTTCCATGGCCAGCACTTGATTCAGCCTTTCCAAAATTACCATTGTAGTTTTTTGTACTGTTACATAGCAATCTTTGGGTGAGTTCTTTATCATTTCCATCAAAGCTTCGTATGCTGCTGATCTCAAATTGGCTTGGGCCCCATCTACTCTATCAGTAGTCTCAAGTAGTTTGTGCACAATAAATTCAAAATAAGGTGACAACATGTATGTTTCGGGTTGGTCTGGTTTGATGCTCTCTGCTTTTTCATAGATAGCTTCAGCCAAGCCGTTAAAGGCCCAACACACATTTGCAGCAACACGAGGCTCCGCCTAAAAATTTATGTTATTGTACTACACAAATCAATACATAGACAATAATAAAAATTAAATAATTAATAAAAAAATGTAGCGTTATAAATTTAAAATTAGGAAGAGTAAGTAGTAAAAGTAATAACTTACATTTAATCCACTTAAAAGTGCTTCTAAAAGGGGTTTCAAGTATGTTTCGTTAGCAGCTGCTTCAGGGACTATTTCACAGATTCTTCCCAATGCCCAGGCAGCGGTGTCCCTCACAGTTACAGAAGTGTCATACATCAGTTCGATGAGAGTCGGCATTGCTTGTTCGACAAAGGGTTGAATTGTATGTGGCTCTAAACCACCAAGAATTGAACCGAAAGCCATGAGTGCAGCATCTCTGTATCTCCAATCAGAGCTTTTGATATTATCATGTACAAAAGGAAGTACGTATTGAACTATGCTGTCTTCACAACACGAAGCCAATAACATGAGGCACACTCCAGCTGCTTTGCTCGGATTCCAATCATCTTCATCATCGAATTCTTCTTGTTTGGTCAATTTTGAGAGGACGACGGGCACAAGAAATTGTAGCGCTCCTTTGGCATAAAACCTCGATGTCTCTTTTGGAGGTTTCCCTAGCTCAGAAGCTTCATTTTCTTCAACGGCCAAATCGACTTCTTCATCACTTACATTCGACCAGAATTCAATACCTTGTAATGCCACTTCGTTGATGTCGGATTTCATGGCTTCTAGTGTTATTGGAAATAACGCTTGGGCCATGTAGGGTTCCATGTATTGATAATACAGTGACATTATTTTTACTAGACACTGAAGAGCAGCAACTCTAACTTGAGTGTCAGGAGACTGGGTTGCTTCGCAAACAACTTCCATGATGTAGTTCCTTTCAACTTCTTCTTTGAAATTTGCTTTTGTAAATTCCAAAGAATTTAAGAGAGCAGTTGTAGCAGCAAGACGAACATGATTGCTTGGCTCTGTGGACCTCATTCCATGTATGATAGCTGTAAGAATTTCGTTCGACTTGCTTACAAGAGCTTCTTGTTCAATCCCTTCACAGATATAACCAATTGTCTCGAGAGTTGCTTCTTTTGTCATTTCAGTACTGTTGATGTTGATAACATTTGCAGATAATACTGATATGAGATCGGGCCATTGTTGATGTGGGATTTCTGCAATTGCGACACAAGCAACACATTGGGCTGCAGAACTTGGCCGTGTACTTTCAGTTCCAAGAGCCCCAATTATCTAAAATGAGTCATTATTATAAAACAATGCCATTAAAATGACCTATAAAATTAAAAATCTTACGTTTTTCTTAATGTAATGTCGTGTTTCTTCGGGAAAAGACAGCCACCTTTGTTGAAACTGTTCTCTGATCTTTGGGTCCTTTGAAGTAAGGTTGTTTTTGAGTTGTAAGCCTGCTGCCATTCTGGCAACTTGGCTATTTGCTCCATGAAGTAATACATCGGAAAGAGTTTTTAGAAATTCAGGCTGAAAGTTGATAAAAATTATTTTTACAAAACTTCTCATCTTTAAAATAAAAATGACACACAGATAAAACCATTGTAAATAAAAATGAAAATATATGTAATATATATATATTTAATGTATGAAATTACTACTATATATTTAATGGATGAAATTACCAAATTTGTCTGTGCAGCTTGTTCAAGGTAGTTTTGTGCTGTTTCTAATTCATGTTTGTCTGCAAAATAGAACAGATATTTGATTAATTTCATGGAAAAAAAAAAAAAAAAATTCATAAGACAACTAGGAATGCAAATTTTTTTTTAAAATCTTCTTTTTGCAGGATTTTATTATTGTGAATAATAAACTATTGTCAATGATATCATTAACAGGCACTTAAGTTTAACGAAAGCATATTTTGACACTAAAATAATTAAATTAATTAAAACTGGGGGGTGCTGTTTTTAACTAAACTTACACGTGCAATGTACCTAGATATAAATAAATTTTATCTATACAACCCAAAACAATAGTTTTTGTATTTATTGGCCATTCATTCAGCATTGGAATAGCCATAATAATTTTTCTTACATTCATAAGTGAAATCATGCAGATATACATAGTTCTAAACATATCAAGATAAAAAATGACAGAAAAGAATAAGTAATTTTTTAAAAATTTATTATCTCAATACCCAGAAGTTCCTTGCTGCTAATGAGTTCAGGATTTTGTCCCAGGCCTGAGCAATCCGAAACATGCGTTAAATGTATGGGAAAAGCGTACTGTGGCTAGAACACGATCCCAATGACAACTCGTTCAGGCACTTGTACTTAATACTAATGGTAATAAAAATTATCTTTTGGAAAAATTGTACTTTTACCAAGGGTGAACAAAAGCCATTGTTTTATAAGAGCAAGCCTTAGCATTCTAAGTAGTCAAGCCTCACTCCATTTGTCTATATAATTGTTCTTTTCAATATACAACAGTATATTTGTGATCCTGCACAAACCTGGGATATTTTGAGAAACATAATCACACTATTTTAATTGAATTATATTTAATTATTCGACAAGCGCTTGCACCTTTTATGAATCATGGTAGTCAAAATTGAACTGTTCTATTGAAAAATTTTACTTTTTCCATAAGTGCAACAAAAGCAAGTTTGTTTTGCAAGAACAAATCCGTAGATTACAAGTAGTTAAGACTCCCTCAGTTGAGCTACTTAATTTAGAACAGTATATTTGTGATCCTGCACCAACCTGGAATATTTCAAGTCATACCAGTATTTTGTATGAACAAGTACTTATGACTCATGGCAATAAAAACTCAACTGATCCAAGTAGTCAAGACCATACTTTGAACTTGAAATCTTGAATATTTCAAGAAACATAGTCATAACAGTGTTTTGTATGAACAAGTACTTGCACTATTTATGGATTCATGATATTCAAAACTTAACTGATCAATTGGTAGATACAAGAGTGAAACAAAAACCATTGATTTACAAGAACAAGTCTTTGCATTCTCTCCAAGTAGTCAAGGCCGACACAATTTGTCTATTTAATTGTACTTTTCTAAATAGATCAACATACTTCTGAACCTACATAAACCTTGAATATTTTTAGAAACTTTCAATCATACCAGTATTTTGAATGTACAAGTACTTGCACTATTGATGACTCATGGTAGTCAAAACTCAAACGATCTATTGAAAAAATTGTACTTTAACCGAATGCACAACAAAATCCATTGATTTACAAGAACAAGTCTTTGCATTCCATCTAGTAGTCAAGACCCACTCAATTTGTCTATTTAATTGCCCTTCTTCAAATAGATCAGCATATTTGGGAACCTATATAATCCTTGAATATTTCAAGAAACATTTCACACCAGTGTTTTGTATGAACAAGTACTTGCACTATTTATGACTCGTGGTAGTCAAAACTCAACTGATCTATAGAAAAAATTGTATTTTCCATGAGTGTAACAAAAGCCATTGTTTTATAAGAATAAGCCTTTGGATTCCAAGTAGTCAAAACTCTCTGTTGGTCTATTTAATTCAACATATTTATAATCCTATCAGTTTCCTATTCATAGGGATTTTTCAAGGGTGCTGTATTTATAATTGATTCGATGAATCATGTTTCACTCTTGCAGTTGGATAACTTTCATAAAGCGATTGGAATTCCAACGAAAAAGAGAAATCTTATATGCATTACGAGAAAAACGTGGTTTTCTCTATTGAATAATTTACCCGGACATAAAATACTAGTTGTTGAATTGTATAAAATACAGGACTGTGGTCCAATAATATATTAAAAGGGTAGAAAATGGGATAATATTGAAAACTGATTTTTGAAATAAGGCTAACCTAAAAAAGCATATGCTTATTTTCTGGAAACGAGTGAAAAAATATATTTCCAATTTTTATAAAACCGAATGTAAAAAGTGGAGAAAACCTTAAAGGCTAAGGGTAATGGTGTAAATCGAGAGAAATGTCTCTGTGAGGGAGTGTAATAGGAACGAAATGAGAACAGCGACCGTTTGGCGGACTTCAGCCATAGTATTACACAAGGGGGAAAATGACTCTACGATGTCAAAGCCACCGTCGGTACAACAGGGCCGGCCCGTAAAACGTCTAAAAAAGAACCCTTTACGCATTTACCTGGTGAAATTGTCTTCTCCAAGATTTGTATCAAGTGTGCATACGCCTCGCTGTTCATTTTAAGCATCATTTTTGAAGTGCAATACACTCGCAATTTGAATTATTTCGCCGCAGTAGCTCGCCGTACTTGAGACATTAAACCGGCAATCGCCATATGCTTTGAGCCTACAAGGCCAACCCCGGCCACACTTATCCAGAATTGTACGTTTTCACATCCAACCTAACATTTCTTTATAAACGCTGCATAAGAATTATAACATTTTTGAAAAATTCTCCGAGATTTTTATTCAATACTTTATTTTTTCAGAGCGGCTTGTCGGCCGTGAACGCGAGAAGAAATATTCTGTATACCAGTATACACGTATTTCCAGTGTTTCGCAAAAAAAATCATACACCTTTTTTAATATTAATTTATGTTTTTAAAGTAAAATAAAAAACAATACATGAAACGTTTAATTTCATTGAAAACAATAGTCAATATTGAAAGGCATAATATTGGATTTTATATCTAAGATACATCAATAATTAATTATCATAACTTAAATACTTAATATTTCTTTTTTTTTCTTTTGGCTAAAAGATTTGCGTGGTTTTTTTCACATTCAAAAGTATTTTCAAACCGCTGAAATATTTTTTTTAATCCCGCCAAAGGATTTTTCCCGCCTGTAATATTAACGGTCAACGGTTTCATTTTTAAATTTTCCCCCTTTTTCGTCTTCTTTGTTTTTACAAGATTCAAATTCAAAAACCCAGAGATAGAAGCATTATTAGGGCAAACCCAGAACACCTACGTAATCAAATAAAAACATTAATTATTCTATGAAAACCACCCTAAACTGCCCATTTATACACTGACAGGCAAAAATTCCACCCAATTATTTTTTTTTCTTGATAAAAGAAAATTCTGCTCTTAATTTGTCTCAGTAAATTTTTGTTTATGCTATGTGTTAAATTTGGAATATCAATTAGAGTAAACACACTTAATTCTTAATCCAAAATAAGGATAAAGGATTTTTCAATGTTTACTTTCTATGGAATTTAAAATGTTTATTCAATCTCATTTGAATTCTGAAGCAATAAACAGTTTAATTTTCACCTTTGTTTTCTTAATTTTAATTTTTAACTTAAAAATGCCACTTAGTGCTGAGGTTCCAAGAGGTATGCGGCTATTGCCATCGGAGTTCTATACGAAACTCTGCAATACGCCGTTACACGTTTACGAGAAACTGGGTCCTACCATAGAAGGCCCAGAAATGGACAGCCTAGGATAGCAGAACCACAGAATGACAGTTTTTTGACTTTGAGAATTTTGCTCAACCAGCACCTTACTGTTGTCCAAGCAATTCATCAGCTCCAGGAAGTTCGAGGTGTCCAAATATCTAAACGCACTGCTCGAAGAAGATTAAATCAGTATGGACTGGCCCCGTATGAGAACCAGAATTGACCAGAAAACAGTGTTGCACAGCTCGCATTTGCTCAAGAACACAGCCATTGATCTTTGGACGATTGGTCTGCTGTACTTTTTACAGATAAGTGTAGATTTGCTATACGATCTCCAGTTGGGCGTGAAAGAGTGTGAAGAAGGCAAAATGAAAGGTACAAAGCTTGTAATTTTCCCCAGAGCTGTCATTTTCAACATAGCTCAATGATGGTGTGGCGAGAATTTCAATGGAGAGTCGCACAGTTGGTTGTTGTTCGTGGGGGGTCTTTGATGGCCACTTGCTATATGGATGAAATTTTGGAACATCATGCATTGCCTAACCTCGAAGAAATCAGCGACAATCCTATTCTAATGCATGATAATGCCCGTCTACATGTTGCTCGCACAGTATAAACATACCTTCAACAACATAACATCAGCGTCTTAGCCTGGTCATCCCTTTCTCCAGGCTTGAATCCAAAAGACGAATAAGAGCATGTCCATCACTTTCTGATACATTCCACTATCTTCAAAGGACGCTAAGTGAAGAATGGGCTAATTTTCAGCAAAGAGACTGGAAAGTATACCGAGGGGTCTTCAAGACGTAAATAAGGCAAGAGGAGGAAGTACGTGATATTGAAATGTTATTTAAAAATTTAAAACAAATGCTTTCTCTCTGTCTTTTTTTATTTTTTAAATTTTCCTTCCCAATTTACATATATATATATATTTTTTTTTAACTTTTTAAGACAAAAAATCAACTATTAAACGTTAAAAAACGTGAAACTTTGATTAATTTATAAAAATATATACAAATCAAGTTATATTACAAGAGGAAAGAATTTTTTGCCTGTCAGTGTATATCGGGCAAATAAATATCTTTCACAATCCAATATAGATCCAGATCAAACCCGAAAAATAACCCAGCCCCCAAGCCCAACCCCTCCCTGGCTACTTCCAGAAGTTAAATTTGTTTTTTCTCTTACAAATGCTTGAAAACAGGAAACAAACCCTATAGATTTCAAACAAATATTCCTTGAACTAAACCAATGTAATGATGATGCTTTAGTCATATACACTGATGGTACCAATGAATCACATATGGTAGGTTGTTCTTATGTAATTATAGTCACCCTTCTATTTTTCGTTACCCTCACTTTTCAGTTCATATAATGCAGACATATTTGCCATTTTAAATGCTTTAGACGATCCCTCTATCAGTCACCATAAAATAATTATATTTTCTGATTCTTATACAGTACTTCAAGCAATTCAGAACCCTTACTCTAAAAATCCATTAGTTCAGAACATTTGGCAAAACTTAAAATAAAAATATTTCTGAACTCTCCTGTTTCCTTTATTTGGATAGCAAGTCGTGTCAGGACATCGAGAGCGAAAGCTGCACAAAACAACCCATCATCTGTTTTAATAAATCCTAAAGATATAAAGTCTTAAATTAATTGATGTTTGGGAAAATTAGTGGAAACAAATCACTTCCAACAAATTACAAAATATAAAAGAGACTGTTAAACCTTGAGAAATATATTTCCAAACTTCCAGGTTTGATGAGGTCGTACTACGTTGATTATGTATAGGGCACACAAATATGACCCACAGGCACCTCATGGAAAAATCTATACCACCATGTCTTTGTGGTGATCAATTAGACGTATGACACATACTTGCACCACCTCCCTTTTGTCTGAAGTTGGCTCAATACCCAAAAATCCTCTGAACTATAAAAGAAATGTTAGGGAATGAATAGAAAAAAATTGATGAAGTCTTCAAAAGTCTAAACTTAATAACACTTTATAAACCTATATAAATTTACATAATTTCCAATGAACAAGGTTTTTGTTATTTTTTATGGGTTAGTTCTATAATATGGGTTAGTTATATATAGGTTGGGTTATATAACATTTCCAGGCATAATATGCACAGGCTTGTTTCTGCTGTTCTGGAGTGTTCAATCAACAGTACTAACACGTCCTAGATAGTTATGAAATGGTCCTATTGTAAACTTGTTTACATGCCTTTGTCTTGGAATACATTACCATTGATTTGAGGATCTATTCTTAAAATTTTTTAATGTATCGGGCTGTAAAATATGTCTGTAATAATTCAAAAAGAGAGCAATATTTATTTAGTTATTTTTTAGACACTCTGAAAAGGGATTTGTGTAGATATTTTTTTCATCAGTTCCATTCAAGATCTTGTATTTTTTCAAGATGTTTTGCTAATTAATATTTTAATTACAGAAATGTAAAACTATGCTGTCTGCTAGGAAAATTTGTGGTAAGTGGTTTGCCCGGTTCAGAAGTGAAAATTTCAATATGGAAGATGCAAAATACTCTGATCCTCCTTCAACCATTGATGATGCCAAAATTCAAGCTTTCGTCAAAAACAACTTACAATAAGTGAAATGAGGCATCTCAGAGGCACTTAAGATATCTCATACAAGCATTTCAACGCATCTATATATGTGTGGTGATTAGTGACCGTTAATCGATATTTATTTAGAAATCGTGAGATGCAGTCTGGTGTGATGTAAATTTCAGAAAAACATTTTCTTTATCGTGCCAACGTTTCGATCTTTATTGAGATCATCTTCAGGGCCTGGGATTTACAAACATTGTTTACGTATATCAATTACATTTTGGATGTGGAAAAGTGAATTTATACAATGCAAAATATATTTCTCGACACGACACGCAAGAGTGGCACAATTACACAGAAGACAAACACTTTGAGTGAGAAGAAATACTTTGATTGAATATATAAAAAATATATTTTGCATTGTATAAATTCACTTTTCCACATCCAAAATGTAATTGTTATATGTGAAGATGATCTCAAAAAAGATCAAAACGTTGGCAAGATAAAGAAAATGTTTTTCTGAAACCTACATCACACCAGACCGCATCTCACGATTTCTAACTAAGCATTTATATATGTTTTTCAGAGTGATTCTGGGGTTTTCACATGCTGAATGGAGAATTTAGTTTACCGTATCTCCATCTGTGTTTCAATTTAAAAACATGATGTAGAAACCATTTCTAAATCTTTTTAAAGAAGGTCTGTTATTATGTATTATGTATCTGTATTATTTATCTATTTGTAAATAGATAAATAATGAATTTTTCATTATTCTCAATTGCAAGTACAAGCATGCTTTCTACCCAGTGCTAAGCTTCTATATTTGTAATTAATACACATTTTAGGGTAGTTTAAAGATCAAATAAGGAGTAAATAAATTGACACCATAGACAAATTTCAATATTGATTTTCTTCACAAACGATTATGCCATTTAATTTTGAATGGCCTAGAGTTGTTATGTCTTTTTTACAGCTTGGTTGTAAATCATCGCATTCATATTGAACTTAAATATAATATTATTGTATGGATTTTATTATTTAGACTTTTCTTTTTCCATCTGTTGCATCTAAAATAAAAATTAATGCATTTTGTTTTCTTCATACTCACCTTGCAATGTACTTTTCTTCTATATTTAATATGTACTAGATTTTCAAAATTAAAGCTTTAGAAAGGAAGATAAACTTTTTATTCTTGAAATGTTTAATAAGTTCTTGAATTATTTTGTAATATTTCATAATAATTCTGCAAATTAAATTTACATGAACAAAAAATAATTCTGTTCATGTTTATCCAATATGTATTACAACATAAACAAGAAATAAAAAACTAACAATACAGTGAATTAATTAATGTTAAATTCATTCAATTACAATTACCGCGTTAATTTTTCTCTCTGAATTGTCTTCTTCCTGTGGAACCCCATTTTGTTTTTTTGTTTCTTTATCTCCATTTTTGTTAGCTGTGAATAGTGATTTTTTATTCCTTTTGGTTTTCTTCTTCGGCGTATTTTCAGTTACAATCGGAGACTTTTCAACACTTCCATTCTTGTCCGATGTTGTAGAAACTGGTGAATTTTCACTTCTTGAAGAATCATTTGATTGACTGTTATTCTCAGACTGACAAGAACAGCTTTTATTAGCTTTATTTTTCCAAAAACTAATAAACAGGAACAGTTATATTTCATGTTTTTTAAAAAAATATAAATTTCGAGCATACTTCAAGTCATCCTGTAAGTTAGCATTTTGTTTTTCTAAATGTTTAATCGATTCAAAACTCATTTCCAGAGCTTTTTGTAGATCCTTAATTTCTTTTTCTTTTTCCTTAATGGCAATTTCCTTTTCTTCTAAAGATTTCTCTAGCTAAAATGTGAAATTATATATTAGAAATTTTCAAGTCAGCACTTTAGTAAATATTTTGTCGAAGTATAACAAATAAATTTACTTCAGTTTCTAAAAGATTTTCATCGCATCCATAGGATTTTTGTGTCTGGTTTTCGACTTTCAATTTTGCTAAATTTTCTGTAAAGGAAAATTTTATACTGTATACTATGGTATATTGATGCTAACTTTATTTAAATAAAATAATGTTTAAAATACAACTTGGTAAACCCCTAAAGTAATCTTAATATACCTGTAAAAGACAAAACTTGCTCTTGCAATTTATTTCTTTCTTCTTCTAAATTCGTTATTAAGTCTGTTTTAGTAACTAAAAGAAAAGTTACATGTTGGTTTGCAACATTAATCACGTTAAACAGGTCTTTGAGTTTTTTATGGCTATCTTCAGTAGCTTTAATTGTCCTAATACATTAAGAGTATTAAAAAGATAAATTAATAAAATAAAAAATTAAATAAACATAAAGTAGCATACGAAGTAAGCTGTTCTAAAGATTTTTTAAATTGCATTTCCTTATTTTTGCATCGTTCTTGTAAAATATTTTGTTTAACCAACTTTTCATCGCTTTGTTGTAATAATCTTTTAAGTTGAGCTGTTTCTACCTGAAAAAGAATATCACCACTCGTTTCTGTTAATGTAATATTTAATTTTGTATAAAGCAGTAACCTCAAGAGTTCGAATTTGCTCTTGGAGAGTTTCCCTGTCCATGAGCGTTGTCTGAAGATGGATCTTCTGCCTTGCTGAAACCTCTCTATTTGCTATTCGGTCTGATTCGCTTTTTCTAGCAGCCGCTATCGCAACTTCAAGCTGTACCGACATTTCTTGAATTTCTCTTTTGGCCTTTTCAACGGACCTTTGAAAATCTTGTTTCTGCAGTATCTCCTTTTGCATTTTGGCTTCAAGATCTTTCATTGTACTCTATAAAAATAACAATAATAATTAAATAAGTGAATTAAAATGGAGTTACCCCTATTGTATTAAATGCTAATTAAATTAATGTAATATTTGACCAACCAACACCTTTTATATAATAAATTAACATTTATTTAAAAATAAAATTGACCTATATTTACACATATAAATTGAGTTGGGTTTTTTAAAGATATTTATTAGTATTTGTTTCTTCCTGTTCTGAGCAACTATTTTAATCAAGTTATAAAAAGTAAATGAATCTTTCAGCTTAAACCGTCAACTAAGTACATTTAAAATGAAAATTAGCTTTTTAAACTTTCAAGCTTTAAATGTCAACAAACCCTTTTAGACTGAAGTTCAAATAATTTATCTTGGAATTTGTTCTGAAACTCCAATATTTCATTACTCTGACACTCTTCACTCATTTTAATGTATTCTAAATAAATGCAAAGCTTTTATGGTTATTGTTTTCTGGCTCTATTGACATCAGTCGATTGACTTTGTTTATTATTGAACAACAAATGTCATAAATTAGTAAATTAGTAGTTATATGGCCATTCTTCAGGGTTATCAGCATATGTACCACAGAAGAGAGCACAAGGGGGGGGGGTTATCAGTAAACCAAAGAATAAGCCTTAAGATACAAGTAAGAGGGAAATTCAAAAAATTCAAATATGTTATTTAAATTAAATTTAAATTTGTGTGTGTGTTCTAATTGTGGTTCATATGCTTATCTAAATTTTTGTAAAGTTGATAAAATCCTAATGATAGGGGTATTATAAGCCTATTTTGAGTCCATCCTTGGTGGGTGGATGGAAGACGACGGACTGACCCTGGACTGTTAATACCTGAGGTGGGTGATTCTCGAGATCTGTTGGTAATTTATTGTAAATTACACAAAAACTGGAATTTTCAGCGAGTTGCCAGATGTGATAGGCTCAACTCTGTATGTATATATGCATATGCAGATTTGAGCTTATATAAATTAGTAATCAGTATTTCTCTATAATAATCAAAATGTATTTTATCCAACAAATACACGTAAGTTCTGTATCAGAGTTGGGATTATTTTTAAAAGTTTCATATTTCAAAGTTGTATTTAACAATTTTTCTTGATTTAAGTCTTATCTAATCTTGAGTAATAGTGAATTTATAAAATTTTTTCAGCAATAAACAAAAAAGTACACAAGATAGTAATAGTAATTCATTAGCATTGGATAAAAATGAGCAACGAGTTTCTGGGTTATTAAAATAATAAAAGATTGGAGTTTCAGCTTAAGCATTAAAAGCGTAACTCTTTTGGTAATGATTATTCGGAAATCGTGAGATGTGGTCTGGTGTGATGTAGGTTTCAGAAAAACATTTTCTTTATTGTGCCAAAATTCTTTATTGAGATCATCTTCAGGGCCTGGGGTTTACAAACATTGTTTAAATTTAACAAATACATGTAGGATGTGAAAAAAAGTGAATTTATACAATGCAAAAAAATATATTTTTTATATTCAATCAAAGTATTTCTTCTCACTCAAAGTGTTTGTTTTCTGCATCTTTTGGTAATAAACAAAACTGGAAAAAAAAATTAATAAACAAAAGTAGGGTAAAAATAAATTACGTCTCCACTATTTATAAATGTTTATGTTCTTATACATTCTAATATTGATTGTTAAATTTAAAGTTTAATAATACACAAGACAAGGCTTCCATAGTGGAATATAATGGGATGAAAGTTGGTTATGCAATTACATGAATTTGTAGGACTTCTATGATTTAATTATTCATTTAATTCAGTCTTTCATTTTCATTTGTTGAGAATGTTTTCGGCAAGGTATAATAAGGATAATAAACCAGTTGATGGAAGATGGTTCATTGCTTTAGACAAATGGCTAAGAAGATCTGGGTATACTAGGCTATTACCTGTTCCTTTAACACCGCCTATGCCTAGGAAAAAAGAGTTACCTTTCAAGAAAATCTCAGAAGACCATGTATTTATTCCTCTGAAACCAGAAAATGTCAGTACGATTCGACCTGTTGTTATAGTAGAAAAGAGATGTGAAACAGAAAGTGATTGGAAGTGTCAGTGCTCAGATGGTAACGACGGTGAGCCAGTTATAAACATGAACGGCAATTTTATTGAAGTCTACTACTGTACAGAAACGAAATTCAGTTACCCTGGAAAACTTGAAAGATACAAAAGAAATCATTGTAATTACTGTGAAAAGTTCAAAGGAAGTCAAAATGTCAGAAATGTAAACAATAATTGCCACCGCCCTTTGAGACAGTCTCACAAAATTAGAAATTAATGTTGACATGTTTCTTCATAATTGTAAAAATTTCGTTCAATGTAAATAAATATTAACAAAAGTAATATTAAAAAACAGTTTTTAGTGGATTTAGCTTTTATGTTGTAATAATATATATAATGTAATGTATAATGTAATCATATATATTATCATTATTATATATCATTTTTTGAAATGAGATTATTGTATTTAATAATGTTGATAATTATTAGCAAACAAAAATTAATTAGTAGTATTTTTTAATTTTTCACATAATTAAATATAAAAATGTGAAAATATATTATAAAATCATATTAATAAAATTAAAATATTTGACTTGTAAATCAATGCTGACATGACAATACAAACCTATTGTTTAGACTAAGTCTTCCCAAACCTGTTTGGCCAGCGGACCCCTTTCACAGGACCCCTCCCATTCAAGTATTTAAAGTTAGATACTTATAGTATATGTAGTAAATTAAAGTTTTATAAATTAACATTAGCCAATCCATTCCTAATAGGTGGTGGAGAGGGATATCTCTATGAAAACAAACATTAGATTGACATACTTAACTTTATTTACAAAATCTGGAACACAAAAATCAAATTGGACAGAATGGAATCAATTGGTATGTAAAACCCGAGCCAATTTTAAAAGTATTAATTTGAACATTAATGATTACTGAATTTATAGGAAGATTGAGAGGTTGTTTTAGCTTGAACAATTTGGATATGTTGAGTTTAATTTTTGACAGCTGGAGACGGATGTCAGGTCCAAACATCTAAACAGCTTTGGTATTTAGTTTTGGTAGTTGTTTAGATAGAAAATCTGAATTTACATGAATAAGTTGTGGCAAATAGAAGAAAAACACGTTTTGAATTTTCAACGAGAAATTGAAATTTTTTGTTTTCTAGGAGTCAAAAATGGGTAAATACTGCACTAGAAAATAGATTTCAAGGTGGAGTCTGAAGTAATGTCTATCAAACATTCGTATTCTCTTGAAGATAGACAGGTTGGCTTTGTCGAAATAGCAAATGGTTTTACCACCAATTCATGGTCTTGCAGCGTAGTGGGAAGTAGTGGTCAAAGGACATCTCCCAACTTTGAAGGCGTTCACATATTTTATTAATCAATATGCCATTCAGAAGCTGCAGTTTTCTTTTAAAAAATTCTTTGACATGGGAAAACACTCCACCTCTTCCTTCTCAACAGATTCAACCCAAAACTGGATTTTTCTTTTGAAGGCGTCAACTGTATTATTAGCATTGAAAGTTGTGGTACCCTATACAGAAAGAATCACATAAACAGGTGAACTTTGGCAAATTTTATTGCTAGACTTGCTATTGTTGCTAATTTTTAAAAAAAGTTTGCTAATGTAATCAAATCTAAAATTTACTAATTAATATCAGCATCAAATTTAGTGGTAGATTCTATTTCTCAAAGTGTAACTAAAAATAAGAAATAAATAAAAAAAGTTCAAATATAACTATTTTTATGAACTAAATTGAATAAATATAGAAATGTCAGAAAAATTCAGGTTACAGTGTGAAAATTAATGGAAAATAAAATTCAAATTTGTCCAAAATATTTCACTTTTTCAGATTCAAAGTAGGCAGTGAATTTTTGACTTAGGCCTGATTCTGTTGAACCCTTTCATTCAAAATATAGTTTCAAAGAACTGCTTTACTTTATAGTAGGAAGGTTTATGGTTTTAATCAATTGTTTAAAAACTATATACAATTATAAAGTTATTTTTACATTTTTCCCAATTTTCCCTTCTTGATATAATTTGGTTATTTTTTTTCTTTGAGCAAGATTGCCCGTAGGTTCCCTAATACCTCCATGATTTGAAAAAAAGAGAAAAAAACATGAAATTGAATCAATCTATTGATGTCAAGTGAGGGTAGGGCCAATCGAGTAAGGGCTGCTTAAGGATTCAAAGGGTGGTTTTTCCCGTGAGACATGGGCTTTATAAAATCATGTCTTTCTTTGCATTTATTAAACCAATAATTGTTTTTCAGCAAGTATAAAAGGAACAGTTTTTAGCAGAAACAGTCAGTCTAGAAGGAAGCCTTGAGACGAACAACATTCTAAAGGTATTCGACGCAAATTCATTAAAAATAGTTTAAATTTAACTTTAAAATTTAATAAAATATATTTTTTATTTATTTTTAAAACAATTCTGAGAGGGAGAAAGTTCTATAAAATAATAATTTATCAACTACCATGTTCTAGTTGAAAATTCAGTTTCAGAAAAAATCTGGAGCAAACTTTTCTTAGCTTTGTAGCACTGCAATGCACTTTTGAAGATGATATCAAAATGTGTTTATTTATTAACTAAAATATTACTGTACTGAATTTGACTTTAATGTCTAAAACAAAATAAAAATAATGTTTTGATTAATTTCAAATGTATTACAAAAGTAAGCTTAAAACTCTTCAGGACTGATTTGAAATATAATTAAAAAATAGTTATCTGTGTAATTTTCAAGTTATGTTTATTAACTGAATATTATTTTAGAAGGCAAAATGAATCATAACACGATGACAAGCATACTGCTCACTCTTGGCATCTACCTTTTCCTCCAAAATACAAATTGTCTCTGTTCAGCAGAACTGTCAATTGACAGGCCATTCCCCCGGCATCACATTCACCTTCGGGTGCCTCAACTCGGTGATGCAGCGTTTCAAGAAGACGAGGACGCTTTGGAAAAAAGGCAATTTAACGATTACGGACACATGCGATTTGGAAAAAGAGAGGGGACAGATGAAAAGTTCGAGGATTATGGCTATCTGAGATTTGGAAGGTCACCACAATAGAGAAAAACTAGACAAGAATTTAAATCATAGTATATTTTTTATTTACATTGTTAATTGTACAATTATTATAATCTTATTATTTTGAAAATAAAGGATTGAAATTATTTAATTCTGAAACTAATTTTTTTTTTTTTTAAATATTTCATTTCTTTCTAATTTTGTTAAAGTTCTATAAATTACTTTAGTGAGCAATTTAATTTACCATTTTTTTCTTACATAAAATGTTCAAATGAACACTTTAACAAGGATAAAATGAACTGGTAGTCTTACAGTAAAAATAACACAAAAAATAAATGCTATATTTGATAGTGATGTCGCCTGTTAAATTTAACAAAGTAAAATATACTTGTATAAATTAGTAATGATTATAATTGTTATATTTTTATTCTACTGTAATATCTATTTACATAATGCCTAGTTAAAAATATTAATTCTGTTCATTACACAAATAAATACATAAAATAATAAGAATGAGACAATTGAAATTCTAAATTAAAGTCATTTTGAAATAAGCAGTGTTAATAAAATGAATATTTAAATACACAAAAATCATTAAATGAAATATTTAGTTGTTCCAGGACAACAAATTATTTTCCTAAGCCTAAATAATGTTCTTTTAATTACCTTTAATTATTGGTTGTTTTTAACAAATGATATAGTTCTGTCCTTTATTCTTTCATAAAGAATGGAAAGAAAGGAAATAATCCTTTTTCATATGCTGCCAACAAATTGATATGCTAAAATTCTCCATGTCCACAAATCACTGATTGATTATGACTACATACAAATTATCTTTAGGAGATACTAAAAGAGACGGTGGAGGTCTAGGTAAAATAATTTTATTTTACTATTTATTTTCATATGGATAAGAAGCATTGTTATAAATAATTACAATGGTATTTGTATACGAGTTGAATAATTTTCATAGAATATTTTTTTTTTGTAAAATTTATCAATTGAAGAAAAACAACAGAAACAATAAAGGTAACCATTTTTGTGTGTGTGAAGCCAAAAAATTTGATTAAATGAATAATTGAAACTTATACGATATTATTTTTCGTTTGGCCGTTCAACATTACTTTTGCTACAAAATTTACTATTGCATTAGCTGGCTGTCCTGGTTCAAGTTCAGCAAATAAGTGGCACTGGTTGTCAGGCTTATTTCCCGGTTCTCGAGCAACAAATCCAAAACACCGCCTGAAAATATTAAGATTTTTTTAAATTCATGAAAATATTTTATTTAAAACAAAGTCTTATAAAGAAATATTGCTAATGACATCCCACTCCTTCTTTTTAGGGTGGTCATTTTATTTTCCCTACTTTACAATTCATGTGAAGAGCACTTGGCATTAGTGTTCCACCAGATCGCTATATAATAGTAATTTTGTAAAAATAAGGAAACTTACAATGAAGATAAAGGCATTCCAGTAGTCTCATTTCTCTGACTCCACCTGTGATCGTCTGGATCTAGCCCACAGTAACTGATCGTATTAACGGGATAATGTCTTCTAAAGAATTGTTGCCTTTTGTTGTCCGTAAGTGTAATGCCTTGGGTTGATACTTTAAAATGGACAACTACTGCAGTTGGTAGAGCATCAGAGAATAGCTGGGTTATTGCTCGAACAACGGCCTGAGGACCAGTCAGTGATTCGGTGTCAACGGTTTTCAAATAGAGCACGTTGCAGGCTGGAAATTTATAATACATTAATACTGATACAATAAAGATGCAATTAGGCAAAATACCTGCTCCTTGTGCTAAGAGAAGTTGAGCATTGCTAACTGTTGAAGGGTCCATTTGCCTCGATGGATCAGATTCTGGAAGTACTAGTTTACACGGCAAAGCAAGTGGTGTTAAGGTATGCTGATAGACTAGAGCAGACAATGAACCTAAAAAAAATAATTATATTATAACAATTATTTAGAGATTGTGAGATGTGGTCTGGGTGACCGCATCTCACGATCTGTAAATAGTCATTAATTAACGGTCACTAAATTATAACAGACACTAAAACGGTCACATATATTATAACAGACATTATATTGACAGGTAAAACAAAAAACTTTAATACTCACTAAATACAGGTTCGTTGCTGCAACCTTTTAATCGAACTCCCCTAGATGTGGGCTCAATTAGAAAATGTCTTACAAGTTCATTGGCTGGATCTCCTGTAGGCGATTTTCCTGCATTTGGAGGAGGCGTTGCGACTTTCAAAGCCAAACCAAAGGCACCTGGGAATGAGTTTGAATCCCTCACGACGAAAGTCCCAGGTGGACGATCTTTTAACATGTTTATTGCTAAAAAACAATAAATGATTAAATCACATTCTTATGGGGGGGGGGAAGGAATAAATAAAAAACAGAAAAATACCTTCTTCTCGGGATATAGTTGCTTTGTACCAGTACTTGTTTGTATCCCTGACAAATTTGACATGTGCTGGTGACACTTCTTGAGGAGGTTCTCCATTACTATGTATTGAAGACCTTCTAGATGTTCCATAATATACAGTTGGTGTTGGGGAAGATTGACCCCCGTTCATTGTTCCATTTGAAAGAACTGGACTCTATACATTTAAAATTTTTCATTTATAAAAAATATCAATGTTTTTAATGGTTTATTTGACAATTATTTCCTTGATCAACAATCAAGCAGTTTGGTAATCAAGGGAAAATTTTAAAATAATATGAAATTACAATTACTTTTGGACTGTACTGGTTGTCTGAACTGTCATATCCACGTGAACTTGTTGAAGAATGTTCTCTTTGAAGGGTCTCCCCTAGAGGTGTCCACTCCTTTCTAAATTGGGAAAATATTAAAACATCTACTGGAAAATAAACTAACAAGAGCTTACCTGTTTGCAGTTGGGCTTTTGGGGGGCAGACCTGCGATATCGAAATGTGAATGATTTCCATTACTGTAAGGTGTTCTAGGATGAACAGGGAAAGCCGGAGTCTGAGGCCGGGGGCTGTTTGCTGGGCTTCCTGTTCCTTCGCTTGTGGTTGATGTCGTCCTCCAGGAATATCCTTCATCCCGTAGCTAAAAGTAAATTACTCATTTATTACAAGCATTAAATATTATCCACTTTATTTGAAAAAAAAAAAAGAAAAGGTAACTAATAAAAATATTAATAATGAAATGAAATATCTACATATTAATAATTAATAAATACCAAATTTAGTGCAAGTGATTCAAATCCTGGTCTGGCCTGTGAAAAGAGTGCTTTAATTGTCTCAATGCAATGCAAGACAAAACAAAACATAAACATGCACTTAAGTTATAATTGATATAGTGACATTTTAATTAATTTATAATAAGCAATATTGTAAAATTTCACAAAGAAAAAACAGTACAACATGTAATGTTAGTAATCATAAAACTAGTCAGCTCTGATAATTACAATTTAGGTGCTTATTAATAACTTCTCTTTAAAAAATGATTAATGGTGTGTGTTAATTGGGTAGTAACATAGTGATCAAATCATGAAATTTACAACACAAAAATAGGGGTACCAGGTGTATTATTATGCATTGTACAATGCAAAAAAATGAATATATTGTATTGAGTATTGTTCAGTTTAAGTTCAATAAAAAATATTTATGGAATAATTATGGATTATTGAGTAAACTAGTGAGCTAAAATTAGCAAGTGTGAGCCAATTAATCGAATAATTACAGAATTAAAATTAGTTTGAATCTCACTGTAATAAAACAGGCAAATGAAGTCATAATTAAGTGACGACTGATGCGGAAAGTAATTTTGTTTAATAATAATATGTTTTACAATGTTCCCCTGGCCAATAAAAATAAAAAGGATCATTTCAAATTGCACTATGTGAGTACACTTGATTATTAAAAATTAATCCATATATGTTTGGCGGTCATAATTGTCCATATTAAATATTGCAATTAATTATTCTTTTTATCTAAGGTCTTGGTTGAGTTGAAAAAGTTGTGTCATGAGTGGGATTCGAACCCATGACCTTAGGGTGAATACAGCGCTGCTCTAATGTGACGACAGTGTCACGATAGCTCAAGTGGTTAAAGCAGCCCAATGGTTGTGGGTTCGTATCCCGCTCGAGACACTAACTTTTTCATCGTAATGAATAAAAATTTAGTTTCATTTTGTACTTTTAATTAAATAATTTTAAATATTTATGAAATAATTAAATAAATTTAATATTTAAAAAATTAAATATTAAATTTATCATAACATATATATTTTTTAAATATAGCCATTCATCTGAAACTTATGGGAAACGGTGTTCAGTGATGATAGTGACTCTTTTATAATATGTGATCTTTCAAAACAATCTATGTACAAAATTGTTTAAAAAAAAATATGACTATAATATATGAAAAATATTTTACAGTAGATTTGGTCAATGGTAAACATCTTAACTGAGTATCTATATGTCAAATATCCATTTTTCTAGTACTACCACATTGGCTAACTTGTACTTACTACTTCTACTTCATTTGATAAATTCATTGAACTACCTCCAAAAGAATTAAATGTAAAATTTATAAATTTTGAAAGTTATAATTTAGTGGTACTTAAATTTCCATGTAAAAATTAAGTTATCCTTTCAATTTTATGAGATGTTTAAAAGAAATGAACATTTTACAGATGTAGTATTATTAAAATCATTATTTTTATATAATAGTAATAATAATATAATAGTGAAGTGCAAAATCATAAATTGTAAATGTGTAAAGAAACAAGAATCATATATAAAATTATCTTGACTGAGGATGAATACTTTTATGTTTTTCATTCTTACTGAAACAAACTGAGCTTTTTAATATCGCATCTAAATTAGATCAGAGCAAACTTTGAGTCTTCCCATATCTACCTGTAGTTCAGAAGGTGGTGGAGGCCAAGCAGCCGTTTCCTCTGAACTGTCACTTGGGGATCTTGTCGTTGACGCTACAAATGAACTGTGCTTTTCACTGTCTCCTCCGTCAATTAATGAAAGGAGGCCGCTGTCCTGCTCGGAACCTCTCGCTGTGCTCTGTGTCCGTAGGGGGTATTTTTGTCAATTAGTCCAATTAGTAAAACAACCAAACATCCAAGACTCGATGCCGTTTATTAGTGGCATTATTGAGGGAAAAACGTCTTTTGTTTTGATTCCTTACGATCTTTTCTTAATATGTGTTTATAGGTTTAATTTAATATTGTGAAAATGACACTATTAAAATTCTTCCATTTGCAGATAAATATTACAAAAAAAAGTTTTTTATTATTATGCTTTTTAAAGGCCTGGAGATTCAAGCAACTATATTAATTGCTTTCAGGTACATTAATTGTTATTGACATTATCATTGGTATGTAATTGTACAAAGGCAATGAGTTTAGCTTAAATTAATTTCAATTAAGCCATTACAAATGTCATAATTAGTACATTCACGGTAAATACTTACTCTAAGTGGCTGGTATTTTCCTTCATATGGATATTTAACAAAAATAAAATGTTAATCGTTACTCCTTTGTTAGAAAAATAATCAGTGACAAATTAAACAATTTTTTCAAGCTAGAATGTGTATGTTATAAAATATAGTTAAGTATAAGTAATATACACTTTTATTTCTTTTTTAATGAAATATTTTGTATTCTAGGTATGTTCTATACTATATGTTTGAATGATGATAGGTATTATTTAATATAACATGAAATTTTATTTAAAAAAAAAATATAATAAAATTCTATTACATATTTAACAAATTGTCTATGCAATAGAAATCAAACTTATCTGATAATGATTCACAAAATTTGGTATTTTTGTTGACCATCTCATTTTTTAATACTACTGTTTTCATGTAATGTAAATGAATTGTTTAGTAAGTTTTAATTGCAGTTTTTGTGAGGTGAAAAACTTAAATGAAGAAAGTGAGAAAACTCAGGGTAAAGCTTCATATGTGAGCATTCAAATTTTATAGAGCGTTGTTCCCCCAAAAGGGCTTGCCAAAAGAAGGGGTAAATCATGCATCGAGAAGCAGATGTTTAAAGGTGCACACTGAATAAGCGGTGCTTAACAATGAACAGCAATTTAATTAAAGTAAATTGATTTTATTACCGAATCGCTATATTTTCTGTTTTTTCCGGAGAAGGGTGCTGGGTCGGCCGATCGTGCTCTGGCTGCTGCAGAAGTGAGCGGGTGCCTTCTCGACGAGCTCCTATGCGGAAGGAGGGGAGAGACCGGTGCTGATCCTGTAGTCACTTTTGCAGCAGTTGTATTTATGTGAAGCGGGACTGAAAAATCTTCATCGTCCCTAAGGTGTGATGTGTCGCTTGCGTATCCGTCTGTCCTTCGACTAGGAGAGCGAGTTGTAGTTTGGGAAACTCGCAGTTCGCTAAGGAGACTGCGTTCTGCAGGCTCCCTTTCCCATCTCAGCTGAACCTCTCGCCTGTCTCTTAATTTTTGTTGCTGCCTCTGTAGCCATGTCAAGTTGTTGCTCGTGTCTTGACTTATTGATCCGGTCACAATATTCCTGAAACAAAGAATATTATATTAACAAATTAATGAAGCTTTTACTCCTCTGAAGAAGCCCTGAAGGATGAAATAAATATACATTTATTATGTAAACCATAATCTAGAAATTATAATGAATTTTGTGGGTTTTGCTTAAAAGTAATGTCTAATGCTTATACATTTTCGCTAGTATGAAGCAACATTTGGCCTCCTTTTGCTAAAAAAGCCATTTTTTAAAAAGAACAAATTGACTAATAGAATCTGCGACTAATAACAAAAATAATATTGTGATCGTAGAAGAACCTAGTTTAATTATATTTTGAATTACCCAGCGATTAAAAGTTTACAATAATTGTGCTGACAGTAGCTTTAGTCCTACCAGAAAAGGTTTCCGTGCTGAGTGTTAATAGATCAAGTAGGAGTCACGAACTCCTCTTTTTCACGAGTTTCTCTTGTACTCAGGCCTAGCTTATTGATTTTCTATTTGATAAGTAGTCATTTTAAAACGTTTGTTCTGTTTAAAAAGAAGGTAATTATTTCAAAAACGCAACATTTTGTTTGTATCTATTTTTCAGGTCGTTAACATCAGGAGTCTCAAAATATGTCGTTCATATACTTTTCCCCAAAGTTCGATTATAATTTTGGTCAAGCGACTATATGTTTTCATGCTGCATGAAACATAGTGAAATTCATATTGAACGGCGTTTTATACGGGCATCAGTTACCAAAACCCACAAATCCTGGGTAAAATAACAAAAAAACAACACGCAATTAAAAAATTACAAAAAAGTAAAAGTCCAGTGGAGAAATTTATAAGAACGAGCAGTTAGGAGGACGGACGTTCCAGTATCTATTATTCAATGACAAATAATTTTCCAGGAAGGATAGACAATCTATTACACCTTCACGAGTTTTAGCTATCCCTAATAAGGGATAGAACATCCCACACGAATGCCTCGCGCTCGAGGTCAATGTTTCAATGCACCATTTCTCATTTACCAAATCGATTTTTATGAAAATACTTTCAATCTAGGAAAACTAAATATGATATTTTCAATGCGCGTAGTTTATTGATCAGTGAACCAGGAACAGAAAGCAAATAAGTTTAAAAAACAAACTGAACATTATTCAAATGGTCATGTCTTACTTATAAAGAAGAAAAGATCAAGGCAATGACTGTCACGACTTCCAAAAGATCTTTTTATGTGGATAATAAATAGAGATGGTCGAGGGCATCATTTCGTAGAAATCTTTACATCCAAAACGTCTAAACAATTCTTGACAGTTTTAATGTAAGGAAAATATTAATCGTCAAAGTTGTAAATAATATGATTTTACTAGCACGAAATCTAAAAATTGAACCTAGTGATGACAGATACGTGATTAAAGCATCTTCGGTGTTGTTACAGCTGTAAACTTCTAAAGGATTTTACAGCCCGTTTAAGTTTTCTTCTTAATGGTTAACACTTAACATGTAACTTTCCTTCTATTACGATTTGAATGGGCGTGTATGTAAAATCAGTTTTCAGGTGTTGCTAAGACACCCACATGGTTAGATGGCAAGTGTGACCCTATGAAACCCACGCCGATCATTTAGGACTATAGTTTAAGTTTCAAATACAAAAATGTCTTTCTGAAGATGTGAAAACAAAAGTGTACTAACGAACAATCATCTGTCCTATTTTTCTTAACTACTTGTGAAGTTTAGGAGACATAATATTAAAATATCTTTTGAATTTACCAGTTAAACGATCTTTCGCGATCTATTCACAGTTGACCGGTTCCATCTCAGTGCTCCTTTAGTCTCTAGTGATTTCAAAATTGCTGATTTTCGAGTTGGGTGGTCTGTTGTGAATTGTCATCAGTTAGGTTTCCGGCCCACTTAGTGATCCAGGAGCGTTTCGGCTCTTCATCTCCACTTTTATTCAAATATTCGTTCACTTTCAAATTTGTCGAACGCCGCCCAGCCCGCTCATTGTTTTAAAATTCAAATTAACAGCCACTTCAGCAGCTTTAAACAGCGGTTCCCGTGGAGCTAAATGAGATAATTGTCCACATTCCTTGCGTTGTTGTAAGTTATGAATGCACTCACGACCCCTTCTTACTTTTTTAAATTTGATTAAAGCTGTATAAAATAAAATCACTTAAGAAGTGCAGGGGAAACAATTAACCGGGTGTCGGGCCGCTGAACCCAAAAGAAAAAGTCATCAAGGACGAAAGTGAGAGAAGACGGGCTTAGAGACGACAATAGTGTAAAAATGCAACACTTTTCAGGTGTCTGTATTTTTTCAGTTAACGTTCTCTTCTATGCAAACAAAAATTACGCCAATCTAAGCGGACGTACACAATATATCGTGTTATCTAAAAAATGAATGATTATAATAATTTTTTACGAGGGCATTTCTACTACGAGGTTATATGCACCCTAAGGGAGGAGGCGATGTTTTTGAAAAAAAGCCCATTTGTATGTCGGGTTCGATTGCAGGGTCGCTGGATTCGAACCCGGGTCCTTTACCTTACAGTGATGAACGCCTAAAGCCGGGAACACACTTACCCGATGCTACGCCATGCGACGTTACCCGATGCCGCTACCGTTGCGGCCACCGACGCCCCGAAAAATAAATGATTGAAATAATATGTCAAGAGTTTATTTAATTTATATTGCAGGAGAAAAGGACTTTTAAATAAATTTAGTATTGAATGATAGGTCTGGAAGGATGTAAGGAGCAATTGTATTGAGAAGTGTCAAGTCGAAGTAATAAATTGTAGTCTTCCGTCACTACCGATTGAACCGATTTCGCTATCCCATCGAGTAACGGATGCTTTCTCAATTCCTGGAGAAAATTCTTTTTTTTTTTTTTTTAAACCAGAGCTGCCGGTACGATTTTGGTTATGTAGAAGCAAGACTAGAGAGCTGATTCGATCCGTTTATGGACAAGAGGAACAGTTAACCGGGTGACGGGCGGATCTCACAACCGGCAACCGGGTCTCGGTAGAAAAACCGAAAGACGAAAAAAAAATCGCGGAAATTTAATGATTTAACTATCAAAAAGGATCTCTTCAAAATATCGTTTGTTTTAACAACAAGCCTACGACGATAAACTACACGAAATTAATGTATTTACTCCGTGGATGGTGATTTTTAAAGGATGGGAAAGCAGTCGTGAGCCATTTGTTTGCCCGTAGTAAATTAGGCTAAGGTATATTGTCTGGGGCCATTATATTCTTATTATGTCGGTGAAATAAGATACCCGTTGTAGGACCGCCTTGAGCTTTCCTAACATATTTTAACCGTGAAGGAAACCGTGAAAAATCAAAGGTACCGTCACGAATTTTAGTAAAGTCTTATTCCACTGGCCTAAATGTAGCCTGCCTTTGAATTACAAGTCAACTTTTCCTGTATAAAACTTCAGATAGAAAAAGCCTAGTAGAAGTTTGTTAATTAAAAGGTTCAACTTACATAGTTCTTACTTACGGTTAATAGAAACGCAGTGCCATTACCAAAATAACTTATTACGTAATAATGTCCCCAGGTAAAAATAAAAACAAAAAAATTTGACATACAGCACTTTGATTAAGATGCAGACGACAAACTCTAATCTTGGAGGCAATTGAAATAAATTATACTTTATTGAATCGCTACACAGCTCTCCACTTACGCTCTCGCATTTTTAAATGGAATGTTTCCCATTATTGGATTTCGCAGCAATTCGATTCAAAAATTAAATAGTGGTTTATGTACAGATTTCAATTTAAGTCGTTGTATGAGTTGGAATTGGCCTGTTTCAAATTAAAACTAATGCAGAGAACTTAAGGAGAAAAACAATCGCTTTTCTCGTTCTGCAATATTTAATGGACTTTTTAAATACAATTGATTTAAATTGAATAATTTATTTTTCTGTCCATTTTGAACATAAAAAACATGCATTGGCTTTGATTATTCATTCATTTCAATCAGACTGTCAAAACCAAAGATTGAACGTTGGGAGTTCGGACGTTTTTATAGCATCAAATCTACAATCAACGAAGAATGGTAGATGAAGTGTATTTTTGTGTATAATTAATTGAGTAAGTGATTTTTGTTTATATGCATATTTCTATATTATACTAAAGCATAAACCGAACCGAAAAATGCAGTTCATAGTTTCTTTTTACGAAACGTTCATGAAATTTTTTTAAATAGTCGTAGAAAAGAATTTATTTTCTCAAAATGTAAATTATGCCAAACCTCGCATTATAACTTTGTAAACTCGTAGTTTTACATGTGTTATCCGTTCAAAGAAAAGTACCAGTGATCTGGGAAGGCAAAACGTGTATACGACGTCAGAGTTATAAGTAAGGAGAGGCCTGATGCTGTCTGTGTCGAACAAGCACATAGTCGCGTTTCTCCGGCAGCCATTTTGCTTTTAACACTTCAGAAACTTTTGTGATATTGTAAGCATTTAGCAGAGAGTAACATTTAGAACAAGGTCCAAGTGAGGAACACCTTCGTAGTTCCAAGAAACGCAAATCTTGGCAAACATCTCGCGGCGCCATTCGCCCTTGGAAACTGCTTAATATTAATAATATTAAAAACAAGTAATCTTTTGTGGTTTGCAATGAGTTTTTTTTTAAATCGGCCATCATTTGGAGTTTGTAATCATGTTTCTCAGACATTTACGAAATCTTAATCTTAGCCGGATAATCCTGACTTTGTAAGATGGCTTAAAGTGGCATTAGAAGACTCAAATTTGGGCCAAGTGGTTCCTTACACTCTAGAGCAATTCAGCATTCGAAACCAGATCAAGGCATATGACGAAACATTAAAAAAAATTAAGTAAAACTGTTTTTCACGAACACTGCACAAATTTATTCAACTGATGTTTCAATTAAAAAAAGCAAAAACAATGCAAAGCTGTAGAGATACACTGTAGAAATAAGCCAATGTGGACAATAAAATAAATTATATTAATAAAATGTTAAAAAAACATAAAAAGGTTTCAATTATAAACAACTTTTATCTAAGGATATAAAAATGCT